GCCAGGGAAAATACATCAACCGATAGTATCAAGTTATTACGCAAATCTGTACCGAATTCTTGTGAGAAATTTGATCAACTTCTGGAAAGATACTTTGAACGAATTAGTATAGACATCTCATTGACCAAACATTTCAGAAATTTATATTTTTTTATCGAATTTGTTTATGTTTCTATATTTTATTATTAGATTAGGAATTGTTGCCCAGTATGATCAAATTTCTAACTAAATTTTAATCTAACTATAACCAGTTAGTTGTTATTGGTGTGATACATTTTCAATTTCTCACCTTGTTATTTAAACTTGCTTAAACTTTACGAATAGCTAACCAAACATGGAGGGAGTATTGTACTAATTATAATAACAAAAAGAAAGTCATACAGATGTAACATGCTGACTTTAAATTTATCCACCAAATAAAGTGTCCAAAGTGACCTCCTCAACCAGAGTTACAACCCCTTACGATATTCCCTTGCGGATCATCAAACATGTTTGATCATATTAGGGGCATTTCAAATCATCTAATATACATTTAGCATATCGTTACTGAGATGGTACATTTCTAACTGGACTTTGACAAACAATTTACTTTATACATTCATACATGATACGATCCTGGTAATAGGAGTACGAATATTTTACTACTTATGCAAATGATCATTCCTACTATTACGAATTCAACTGCATAGAAACTGTGCTAAAATTTTACTCGGCCACACTCTGTAGTCTAAATTTTTATATGTTGTAATTTGGAAAGAATTTTCACATCTACAACAACCATTTTATCAAATTCATTAATAAAATTGGTTCAAACATTTTAGAGGTGTCAATGTGGGAACAACACACGAAAGTGCTGAAATGGCCTATTATTCGTGGTGAAAACGTGTCATTAAACGTTTGACGCAATCATTAACGAAGTAGCAACCTGATGCCTCGCTGCTCACGCACGAATTAGATCAAATAAGAGCAAATGACTCGTGAAGGACGGGGCTGGCGTCTCTTTTTCGAAGAATTGACTATATTTGTCTAGTACGTTTGCTTTCTTTATCGAATTTTTGGTAGTTTAGTGGAAATAGATCTCCTTGATCGACTATGGAATGTCTCAGGTTTGAGTGTATAAATTTTGAAATTACATCGAGCCAGTCAAAATAATCAGAGGAGTTGGTCGAACTGTAGATGTGTATATAGTTAATCATACGTACTTCATTAATTTAGAAATATATAATTTCTTATTAACGAGGCTTGAGAAATTTGACACAAGGTTGATTTGGGTAGAAAGTTCCTATGGTATCTGGGTTCACTGATCTGCCAACTTTCAAAGCTCTGTCCTACAACATTGGGATCAATCTTCCAAACCCTCACACGACTTACGAATTGCCATTTCCATTCCAATTTCTATCCATTCCTATTTTGTCTACTGAAACAAGATATATTTAGATATATTTAGTTAAAATTCTGGTTAGAATTAAAATTCTGATTAGAGGAATTCAAATTCGATCACCATAAATTTAAATGGAGCTTCATCACCAAGTAGAATTTAGGTACTTGCCAACTGGACCACGATATGTGCCATAAGTGTAACTAAGTGTTACGAGTGAAAAGGTTTGAATAAAGTACTTGAAACAGGTTAAAGAAGTATGGAATGGTTACAGAATATTTAATTCCCGACTAGTTTTAGGTTTTTGCCGATTTGGTACGCGTTTCAGGAGGCTGTGGATTGCAAGTCACGATGTGAAGCCAGCTTTAGGAGATCCACGCTGTGGAAGTAACGCGTTTCGATTTTGCGTTAGCTCAGCTACGCGTGAATCCAGCCAAGGTCAAGTCGTTCCCCGTTTCCGAGCATCCCTCCGCCGCTTGGCTAAGATCGATTCTAACGAATTTCATATCTGGGGTGGATCTGCATGAGCACGGGATAATATTTCGACACTGCCTGTGATTAGTCACACCTTCCTCCTCTTAGCGTTATTCGCGTGTTTACCTTAGCGTTATTCGCCCACTTTTCTTTATTATTATTGTTGTTATTATTATTATCCTGTTTTCAGAAATTTGATAGGTAAATGTATAACGATATAACAGTTAATAAAACAAGAAAATTGGGAGATAATTTATGGAATAGGCTTCTTTAGCGAAAATAAGAAGATCCATTTTTAAAACACGCAACTGCCTTTATGCTAATTTTCATGCCACACTGATTATATGCTATCGTAATTACGGTTTGAATTAATTTATGAGAATGTGGAGTAGAAAAGTTGAAAATATTTTTTCTAAGCTTCTAATGGCAATTGGTACATACGACGATGAAGTCAGATGACAAAATATTTGGATATCGAACACGATCGCACGTGTACAAGATCTAATTATACGAAATATCTGTCGAAATTTTGGAAACGTACATATGACATATCGCCTACTTTTATGGCAAGTTTGTGTAAATATTGTACATCGTAGTGACACAAGTTGATCGTGCATCGACGAATGTAAATTTACAGCATGTTAGAAATCGATGTCGCACTGATAGAGTATCGGAAAGTAAATAAAAATTATCAACAGACCTATGGAAAATATTGAACAATAGATTTCACAGTGTTCTCGATAAGCCAAGAAAACTCGAGTCTAATAACCTGTCACGAAATAACAATGATACCAATTTAGGATGTGTTAATTAATTGTTAATTAATACTTCTTCAAGAAAGAAGAAGAATATTCCAATGCCGAAATTTTTCCTTTTAAACAATCTACTATAAAATATGGTATTTAGTTAATACGATATACACGATTTAAATACGGAACTTTGCGCATAACATTTTACTTTCATAACCTTTCTGGCAACTTAAAATAGAAATCTTCCCTCTTACTAATCTAAAACAGGTTGAGCAACATTTTCACGTCACGCGTACAAAGTACTTCTAACGGGAACATTCAGAAAACGCAATGAATTTTATTACCTTACTTAAAGTTTCTAGCTGGTTAACACTGAATATGCGAACGACTGTGCTGAAGTTATTCATTTGTACTACAAAGAAATATTTTTGAAAGAGAATTTGAATAATATTTTACTTTAAAGGAGTTATTCCAGAAAAGGTAGTAGGAAATAAATAAATAATAATTTATAACTATTATTAATCGTCCGAAATAATAATTATTCATCATGTTCTTATAATAAAGCTTCAAAAGAAGAAGTGAAAAAGAGGAAAAAATTAGGAGTGATAGAATCGTGATAGATTCAATATAAAAGTTGGTAAACTGAAGACAGGAAGATGGAGATAGAAATTTTTACCGATACTAATTTCCATTTTTTAGTCTCCTCGACAGCGATACTCGCTAAGATTGGCTGTAATTTTCTGCAATTGTCACTGATCGACTTGTATTACTCGTACAGGTATAAATTTTCGTAGGGAAATGAGAGAAATTCAAATTAATTTTCTATGCAATTAAAACAACAGGAATTTATAGTATATTTCATTACTAAATATAGTAGTATAAGAAATTATACTTGAGAACGAAATATCATAGCTAATTAGAGACATAATAGAAAAAGTTAAGAAATTTAAATAACCAATCCTGAAACGATTTTATAACGACTGAGAAGTGGACCAAATACTTTAGAAGTATTTCATAGGCCTTGAATTCTCTCTTTGAATGTTCAATTCCCCATTCAAGTGCATTTCCTATCAAACATCTGGGTAATGGGTAATGAGACACCCATTAAAAAACTTGATTAGTTCAACCTTGAACCTATAAAATAGACTTCACTAACTATTAACCACTATTTTCACAAAGAATACTTCTTCGTTAGTCCCTGTTTATCAATGCTCCATTTTATTACCTTGAGTTTTTAAACGAAAATTTAGATCATCAGCTTTACTAATTATTCTTGAATACCTTAATATTTATGTCATAGCAACAAATTATCCTCATTTAACATTTTTACTCCAAATTACCTCCCCCTCCCTATTACTCCACTTTTTTGAGTAAAGATAGCTTTGAAAGCTTTCTTGAATAAAAGTGTTTAGCAAATCTAAAAATATATTGTATTTTTTCTCTAGTAAGCTTCTTTCTGGAGTTGTTTATATCCGTCTGATAGTTATCGTTTTCGCGGCTATTTTGAAGCAAACGTTTAACTCTTCATCCGCTCCGTTTTACTGAAACAGGACCTCATCGTTTTCTTGGATAAAAAAGCTTACCAAATTCAAAAATACATTAATGTTTCTCTTAAACAATTTTCTTTCTGAGCCATCAATAACTCTTCTACATTCATGGTTATTCTATACTTAGCTATTAGAAAGAGGACATTTCTACCTTTGCAACCTCACCAAATAGTTATAGCCAGCTCATCAACCTAATATCAACACCTTCCTCAAGTACAACGTCCAATTAATCAACCACGACACATCCTCTTAGAAATTCATCAATCGCTTCCATTCCTACAATTCCAACCCACGAGTAACCCATTCACCTCCAAGCTTCCTGTCAACCTCTTTCCTCGAGTGAAACAGCCAATTGACCAATTACAACGGATCCTCCACGAAATCCTCTAAATCTGCCAGCAAAGCTAACCGTTTCGTAAACGCTTGGACGATGGATTATTCGTGGCCAAGCGTTTCTGTCCGCGCAGGAGGAGGACAGGTGAAAGGCAGACTTCGTGGCAAAGGAAAAAGGAGAGACTAGCCAGGGCACGAAGGAGCAAAAGAGCGCATAGAAAGGTAAAACAAACAAATTAACGTCAGAGTCGCTTGTTTATTGTTGGGTGGGGACACGGTAACCACGCCTTTGTCAAGCACGCCCTCTGAGCGTTATATTCCCCTTTTTACCCCACTACCATCAACGCCCCTGAGTCAGTCGGTTTCCAACCCCACTCCGACTATGCAGCGACCGGTGGTGGAAATGACGTCAGTCTATGCCAGCATGCAACAGGCTGCTCCGAAACCGTGGACGTTCACGAACGCTTGCGAAACATTAGCCTCGATGCTTCCCTCGACCGGCTAATAATTAACATGTAAGCGGTACCTCGTGTGGATATTAGGGAGGAAGGATTCCCGATGATGGCTTCGATTGATCGGCTCATCGATATGTCGGTTGTTTGGCAGACGATGAAATGGAGTGAAAATTCGGTCCATATTAACTCCGTTTGGCTCCATAATTTTTAGGACAGTCCCTGAAAATGAATTGTTCCATTTATATTTTGTTTCAGGTGTATTAACATCGTAGACTGTATTTGGAATGGTTTGTTACTATAGGTACTGTACTTACTCGAAGTGTACTCTCTTAGTGAAATCTGGTAGATTCGGAGTGATTAACTTCTTTAAAGGGATGAAATTTGTCAAAGGAATTTTCTTCGTTTATACTGCACGTAAAGTATTTTCCTGCAACAAATAAATCAGTTATTAGTATATGATCTTTAAAATATTGTTAACCCCTTGACTTACGATTTAAGTTCCAATGGCGCGTACTATAATCAACAGCACAGTCGGTTACACGTGGAGCCATTTCGCCCGAACGTGCTGAAGAATAACAGATAACTCAGGCAGAAAGACATGAACGAAGATTAATCACGAGTCTGATCAATGTTGTTTATATTGGGCCCTTATTACAGATCACGTGGTTCAGTTTCTTTACCAAGAGTCTCACACGATATTGTAGGCAAAGTGGTTAAGGGTGAGTAATTTTACTGAAATAACTTGCAAAATTCGTTGAAGATAAGATTTACTTTAAGTCGATAGGGTGAAAATGAAATTTGAAATATGGAGGAAACATTTCCAATTTAAACAACAATTATCGACATAGATTTTGAGTTTGATACATTCAGAGAATTAGAAAACAAGAATCTAAGGATCTAAGAATTTAAAGTAGTCTCCAGACACCTCATTGAATATTATATATAATTGAAGCAATAAATCTGTAAATATTATTTGTGAAATAAATTCAAGGAACCCTATTACATCATACAAACATTAACCAAAGGTCCAATATTATTTCTCATTTCTTAGACTTTTCTCAAACACTCTAGATCAACATTTGATCGGGGTATATATTTCCTATAACTATATCTATTTACTATAACTTTTATCTATTTACAAAGAATTCTCGTGCATTCATGCAAACAATAATTAGTCAAAACACGCGGCACCAGAAACCACAGGACAACAGTACGAAGTGGCAAAGAATCTTAACTCTCGTCGAGAGCGCGGGAACGAAAAATGAAGCCCCCGCGCCGATAACAGTGGCTGGTAGGGTGATTCCATGGGGTCGGTAGAAGGAGGTCTATCCAGGTTCGGACGCTCAGCGAGAAAGCCGGCACGGATTGTAAATTATACCGGGCAGATAGAGAGAAATTCATGCTCTGATGACGCAGCGTTAACCACTCTCCGGTCATGCGATGATCAAAGGTAACAGTAATGGCCCGTGAGAGGATATCCGCTTGTATTTCGCCTAATATACTGCTGGCTAAATGCTGACGCGATTTCGAGAGTTCCTGCTACCGGGGAAGATGGGGAAATCCATTGAGAGGGAAAGAAGAGAGAGAGAGAAAGATTGACAGACTTGCATACTACCGTTTGTATGAATAATCAAAATTTAATGAAGACAAGGGGAGTTACAGGAAGAGTAAACGCGATAAAAATAATTGGAGCGAGTCAAGTGACTTGAAATTCAAATTTTCGTGTATCTAGGTTTTCTGTGAGATTATGGAATGCTGATTCAGAAGATTTTATTACAACGATCATAAAAATTGTATGAAAAAAGATGTAGAAAAATATATTAATATATTATATTATTTATTAACATGTAATTAGACTTGGCATTAAGCCTATGGTTATTTAGTGGATGAAGAAACTAAAGATGAGGTATCTCAAAAGAAACGGAATAAGAAGAAATATTGAAAAATTCCAATTAGACACACCATGATGTATTTTAAATCCCATCGTGACACTATTTTATTTTACCATTATATCACTGTAGGATCATCACTCTATTTATAATAATAATCACTTCCTATTTTTCCGGAAAAATAAATAGGAAGACTATAATCAAGTATAACTGGTCCCCTTCCTCGTTATCAAAAAAGAATTTATTGAATTAAGAAACGAGAAAATTCAGGTAAACCGAAAGGTTTCGAATTGCGCAAAGGACGGAGAATATGCAGAGAGAAGCTGGAAGATCATAAATTGTTGGAGCAACGTGTGTACCTAACGTGCACGCACGGTCGAGCGCGAGATCGCGCTTAGCCTGCCTTTCAAAAATTTCACACGTTACCGATCTTCCGACTCAGCCGCTACTCTGCAAGTCGATCCATCATTTCGCTAGTTTAGCACGGAATCCACGAAAATTATCCGATAACACGACACCCACCTCTCGTTTGTCTTTGCCGAACGTCTATCATTCCCTCTCTGTTATTCCCTCTCTCTGATCATCCTCTTCCGGATGATGGACGTAGCTTCGATCAGTTGCTACCGGTAAACTTCGTCGCGGTCGATTAAGAGCTTTATTCGCTAAATCGTGGCGATGATTTTGTGGATTTCTGACGATGTTAGATGCAGTGAGTTTTGCGGCTGACCTTGGTGTAAATAAAAAATTTTGTTAGTGATGTGATAATCCTATTCTTGATTTGGATATAAGTGTAGACTTTGTATTTGATTAGTATTTCCATGTTCGATTATTGGTTGTAATTTGAAATTAATAGACTAACTAGCAATATAAGTATCTACATTGAACTTTTTAACAGTCTACAACTATACTGATTTTCGTTTTACTATATAATTCCATTTTCAACAAACTGATTCTAAATGAGCAATATTTATAAAGAATCTCCCTCCTTATTACATCCTCAACATTATTGAAAACAAATATTTCAATATCCTTAGCTATTTTAAGTTATTGCTATACATCATTTAATTTAACAAGATTGTAATCCATGCTACGTACCAAAATAACATTGCCTTCACAATTATCCAAATTCCATTAACGATTAAAATAACCTACATTAAACTACCTCCAACTACAATCAATCTGCCTACCGATATTTCTCGATATTACAAATATTCCCTTCTTTTATAAAAATTCTTTCCATCGACATACACCCAGAAATTCGGCTATATTCTAGAAAAGTTTCGAACAAACGTGATACGTGCGCGCATGTGCGCATATTCAGGGCGAAGAAGAACTTTAATAAAGCGTCAACAGACGACGGTACATCGTGTACCCGGGGGTGACAAATAATGGGGTGTTCCTGTTCGGTATCGCTATAATGGTGTTTCTCTCTCTCCATGCTGACAATAGGTCGGCCAGGTCAAGTGTGCGTATACTAATCATGTTCCTGGTCAGGCTCGAGGTCCGAGAATGTACCGAGGAAATGCGAACTATGCACGGGGTACAATGCCCCTCTCACACTTTCGGCCAGATGCCATGGATATTCGTGCCCTAGCTGGACGCAGGAATATAAGTACGTTACGCAGCGAAACGCTGTTCGATGTACGATGTAGTAGATGATGGTTGAAAGAGAAATAAGGAAATATATAAAAATTTGGTACTCCTAGTTTGATTTATGAAAGTTTTCAAGGCTTTTCTGCGTATCTATTTGATGTATTAATAATTAATAATTTAGGAAATTTATTGTTATAAGATAAAATTTAGATAGAGGTCTTAAGATATAGAAGAAGGAATTAATACATTATCACTAGGACTATCAACCTATAACGAATAGTTCAATATAGTATACATATACATGTATATAAAAACAATGAAAGTAGTATAATTAAAATAAATAAGTATATGCTTATATATTTATTTATTATATTAGTAATAACTTACTTATTTATTATATATACTTATTATACTTATATACCATCTTTTCTCTGTTAAAGAAACCAATTAATCCTTCTAAAGCTTAACGTAAACCAATAATGTACCAAAGTTACTCGAAAAGAAAAATGTTCTCAAGAATCAAGAAGCCAAGGTGTCTACCTGCGCTCTATAAGTTGACGCCCAGAAGACGAGTGCTCGTAATGCCTGGCATTCTTCGAACGAAATCCTGGCGACGTTGGCCGACTTTCCCACATGAACCAATGGAGAGGTTACGCGAGGGTGGATCCGCCGTACGAGAAATCACAATGAAGACTTTGGGCCACTGTTGCGGGATCAGTGTGGAGAGGCAGAAGTGTCACCGAGATTAGAGGAAGACAGACGGTCCATGGATACAGATGGAGAGACGAGGATGCTGAATGTCCTGTGGGATTGTGTAGGATTAAAATCGAGTAGTCGGCTCTCTTGGCAAGGGGTAGAAATACATTGATGTATAGGGACGTGCCTGTTTTCTTTCTTTCTATTTTTCTTTTGGTCACTTCATGGACATAATGAGTCTTAAATCCTTAAATCCTCGAATGAATAACGTACTAAAGAATATCTGCACTCACTTGAATACCTAATGTAAATGTGTTTGTAGTAGTAATACATATATATTATAATACAGTATAATACATTATAATGTGTGTTTTATAACAATACTTATTCAGAATATTTTTTTTTTTCCAGAGAATTGAATTTATTTTATAATAATCCTTTTTTAATGTATTCATAATTTATAATTTTAAGGGCATACAACTCAGTTCTGAATAACTATAGTTTCACAAAGTTTCAAACTATAACATATAACTATTTTAATATTATTCACCTTGATATTTATAAACCGAAGCACTGGAATACGTGTTAAAATATCTCGAGTTTTGAGAATTTAAATTATCGAATTTTTGAAATCTTGATTCTCTTGTTCCTCGGGTCGTGAACTCCAAGCCATATTACTCCAAAATATCATGGTCATTACAATTGCAGGAAATGTAGTTCCATGTCTCCGTATTTCTAAATGTTGAATCCCGATGTCCCAAGGGATTCTAGCTGAAATTACATAACCATAACATTAATTTATATACAACATTAATTTTAAGTGAATTTTTAGACTATATTTAATAAATATGGATATCTATGTCAAATGCGTAGTTTAAAACAATAGGCCGGAATTTATACATATACTAAAGCAATTTACAAGCTTCAGCGAAATTATGTATGAATTTGAATATTTCTGAATATTTCGAAATTTGTAACAAACTTTAATTAACAGCTACCTAAAATTGGTTTATACAACATTCTACGCATATTTTATTTATTCCGACTTAATTTCCTATATGCGTAGCACATACACGTAATATAACCATGCCACGACCGTGGAAAAATAATAACAGATTTTTGTAGGAATACGTTTTACTTAACCTTGTTCCTAAGATATCCCACTATTATATATAATATTACACTTATAATAACAAATTAAGATGGCACTTAATTAATTATCGGAACTCTATTTAAAATTCGAAAACTCCGTACACAATACGATTGCAAATTCGATTCAAATCAAAGATGGCCGCTTGAAAAGTCTAATACGTGGCATATTAGCATATCACGTGACCGTGGAAAAATAATAAGAAATATTTATAGGAATACGTTTTACTTAACTTTGTTCCTAAGATATTCCATTTTTATGTATAATATTATACTTATAATAACAAATTAATATGGTACTTAATTACCTGAACTCTATTTAAAATGCGAAAACTCCACACATAATACGATTACGAAATCGATTCTAATCGAAGATGGCCCCTTGAAAAATTTAATACGTGGCATGTTAGCATACCACGTAACCGTGGAAAAATAATAAGAGATTTTTGTAGGAATATATTTTACTTAACCTTGTTCATAAAATATTCCACTTTTGCGTATAATATTATACCTATAATAACAAATTAATATGGTACTTAATTACCTGAACTTTATTTAAAATGCGAAAACTCCACACATAATACGATTACGAAATCGATTCTAATCGAAGATGGCCCCTTGAAAAATCTAATACGTGGCATATTAGCATACCACGTGACCGTGGAAAAATAATAAGAGATTTTTGTAGGAATATATTTTACTTAACCTTGTTCCTAAAATATTCCACTTTTACGTATAATATTATACCTATAATAACAAATTAAGATGGTACTTAATTAATTATCTGAACTCTATTTGAAATTCGAAAACTTCATACATAATACGATTGCAATTCGATTCAAATTCGCTTCAAATCAAAGATGGCCCCTTGAAAAATCTAATACGTGGCATGTTAGCAAACACTTATGAATTTTGCAACAAGATCAAATAAAATCCATATTTATATGAATATTTTCTATTTCTATATATTTTATACCATTACAATAGGTCGCATATATTATCAAATACCTCATACGTATATGAAGTATATAAAGATAACTCGCATTCATAACCCAATTGCTTATGTATATCATTGTACTATACCTATAAAAATTCACACGGCTGCCAAGTATTACATAACCTCCGAGCGAGCGATTCAATCCCACGTGCGATCTATCGCGTAATACCCAGATAACTAACTCTTCACGTTTACGACACAAGAAAACACTAACATTCGAACCACTCCACGCAAATACCCACTTACGAATACTTACAACAAGATTGACAGTATCGACGCCCATACGGCATTCACCTTACCATACACGAAGATGTAACGCAACGACGGTGGACAAAGACACAAAGAAGGGATCGAGAGGGAACGCGTACAATGAACACTTCTGTCCTGGATTGAAAATCCTCCACTCGAAATCGCGTTACCGCCCGCGAACGTGTGCCTGTACGGGCCGTGCGAAGGGATTAAATAGCAACGCAAAGTTCTCTACCCATTTCCACGATATTCACCGCAGGGTGTTCTTGGGTAACCGCAGATGCGACACTTCAAAGTGATGTCGCGACTCAGGGCTGTTACGCGTGTAAACACGTCGCAACGTGCACCGGGAAAGGATAAACAGCGGCGGGAGGGGGCGTGCACGCAGGTTGCCTCCTCGTTAGGAAATGCGCGCGGAATTTAATTCGAAATAAAGGGCTTCAAACGTCCCGACATGTTCTCTCAAGCTTCTCGTACAAGGGGAAAAATTATGGCTTTACATATTCTACCGTGGAATAAAAGGTAATTCATATCTAACCCAAATCTCTTACCCAGACTGTTCAAAGGCAGATTTCACGTATCGTTTTATTTAATATGATAATAATATATCATAAAACTGCATAAAATAATAATCTAATATCCATATAGTTCCGTATGTTCTTTTTATTGATTATCAAATTTAACTATAATGTAATTAAATTAATTAAAAATTAATTAAAAATTATATTATAATATGTTTAAATTATTTTATATTTATAATTGTTATGATTCTCAGAATTCAAAATGCAGATTTTGCAATTTCAAAAATAATGAGTAAAGGTTCTACGAAATATTATTAAGGTAATAATAATATGTAGTACCTATATAAAATAATATGTAAATTGTATGAAATATAAAGTAAAATTATATAAGGTATAAAAACTGGAAAATTATTTTGTTTATTACCTATTTTTCTCCAAAATTACTACTAATCAAGTACTATTTTAAAACCTCAATTTTGTAGCCAGGAAAAACTAATTTCTAATAAAAAGATGTAAAATAGGATTAACAATTCAGATATTCTCTTATGCCAATTTCTTTATGAAAAATCTACTATTTACAGTAGGAAAGTAGAAACATGAATGAATTAATTATTAAAAATTCACACCTATACTAAATCACACTGCTTTTTGTTCAATTTTTAATTCCTAATTATTACATTAATATTTTACATAATTATTCAATTTACACTAGTTGAAAGCAAAGAACTAAATTTATTACTGTATTTATTGATCATACATACAATTCTACATACTTAATCTATGACTATCCAAACAAAATCTTCGTACAGTCTAATAAACTTACTTGCGTAGGTAATAATACTTAAACAGTAAAATCTCTGATGTGATTTTTGAACTACTGAATAAACCTATCTCTGTATTCGAACAGTTGGGAAGGAGATTCTACATCATGGAAAAACGGGAAACCACAGAGCCATATAAAATCCAATTACACAAACCATTACGTAAATTATGAAAACAAATCTGCATCGAACGCTTCATTCCACAACCCTCCGCAACGTGACCCTCATCCCCAGATTCCAGTCTACTAAAAATTCTCACGGCATCATTCTTGCATATGAGGAACGATCGGCATGGTGCGGTGTAATTTTCATCACGGACATCATCGGAGGTGGTCCATTTCCCATCGACGGTCATCTGCCAGCCTCTCTTTGAGGACGTATCGCCGCCGGTGTAGAGTGTCCCTGGATCCAACGGCAGGTGACCGGTCGTCGGGTCACCTTATACGCGTACCACGCGTTTTTTCGTGAAACATGTCTAGGATTTGCACGATCCACGGCGTCATTTCTGCGCCGTAAGGCTCGCGAGCCACTCTGCGAGTCATGGCTAGTGTTACACTTCTGGGTGGTTCACGGTTTCACCGACGAACTCTTCCTTTTACTGCAGAACACGACCCCAAGATCGTTTACACGCAGAGCTAGCCCCTCTTTCCGTGAAAGTCCGCAGCCGCCGATGTAATTACTTTGAAACTCTTCGCGACGGACGGACAGATTTTCCAGGCGACGCCAGGGTGTCGTTGCTCCAATTGTTCGGTATCCACGTTGCGTAAGGATCTTCTATGTCCTTCTCTGTATCCTTGCATGCAGTATGAAGCAATGGATATCGGTTTTTAATTCCAATTGCCATGTTTTAATCCAATTGTGATTGTATACTTTGTTTGCGAGTTGATCAATCAAGATGGTTTTGTTAAAGAAGGGAAGAAGGTCTAATGCTCTCATTCTATCTTGGAAAGTAAAATTTGAAAAATATTTGATCGATTACTTCAAGAGATAGAGATACTTCAAAAATAAAATACAGTATTAGCTATCTATGTACGATACAGGAAACAGTGATGACTTGATGTATAGGATCATGTGCGAAATCTTACAATTCAAAGGAACCTAGTGCATAAAATATGCAATGGATTTATGTGATAAAATATTTATATATTAAAAATCTTAATAATTTATACGAAATATTAAATTATTTTAGTTGAAACCTAACAATTATAAATCATTTATCTAAACAATTATAAAATGCCCAGCCTAGTTAATGAAATATTTAGATAATCGAGATTGAAAAAAAGATGAACTCGATCATGTCATGTTGTCATACTATTACATCTATTAATATTTTTACACCTACAAATTTACAGGAAGAAATGTTCCAGAAAACGATATGATTGACACCAATTTTCCAATCCTCTTCTACGCCACTCCAAACACATTCGAGGATCGAAACACTCATCCGAATTAATTAAGAGTAGAATCTACTGAAAATATTAAGGCAAATATATAATTCTTCCCCGATCGGATCACACGGTGATTGCTCGAGCGGAATTGAAAGCGTCGATCTATCAGCATCGGGACTTTTTATGGAAATGACAGAATTGTGTCGGCGAAAAGGGTGTCGAAGCAAATAAGTGCAGTCGCGATACGACGCCTGTTCGGTCGCTAACAATAAGTGATCGATGGTCGGGTTCCTGACTCAGCAGACATTCGCGAAACCGAACACCATGGCTGGATTTTTGCGCGCAAATATGCACGCGACAGACGCCAACAAGCATGTACCCTAACGTGCCACGGCGTGTATTACCTAACTCGATATTCATAGACTTACAGAGGTACACCTAAGGAGCTTAAGACATTTTATGGACCAGTTACTAATTGCCTCTGATTTGTTCATAATCATGGCAGTTCCCCTAATTTGCATATGTTTCATCATTCTTTTTGAAATATTTTAGATTTTAGTTTCTATGTATAACAAAATATTTATTGAATATTAAGAGATTCCTTTTTGGAAATATTTTTGTACTATTTGTTACATGTTTAATTACTTTTTCGTTATGACAACTACTTTTTATGGTATATATTCTTATATCATAAGTATAATTTAAAATATAATAAGAAATAGTAATTTTAGCATTAACTATAATTTTTCAAAGCTTATCCTCATATTTGATACCTATACCAAATGTAAACTTTACTCTTCAACCACCTCTAGACAAGACAGTCTTATAACTCTAAAAATATCTAAAAACAGACTAAAATACCTATTATACAGAGAAACAAATTATTTACTCCTACATATGCTCTAACCTAATATACATATGAAACAATTGAACTTCATATTATATATATCTAATACATCCTATACAGAGATCTAGATCCTTCATCTTCCTCTAATTACTCCATAGAATAAAAATAAATACCTACTGCTAATCCAAACAATTCTCAATTGCAACAACCTAACACTGCTTTCATGGCATGCTACTTATCTCAACTACTTTTACCTCAAATCTAAACTAAGAGAATCAAATCTCACCATTTCCCATAGACTTTTCAATTCATTAAAAGAGCTATTACGATTTTCCAACTTTTGCAACTAAAGTATATACAAAAATCAATCGCACCGTACATCCTTTCCATTATACTGTTTCCCGTAAACCAAGCCATTTCACCCATCTTCGTGCAAAACAATCTTTCAGCTGCGAGACCGATTCGTCGCGGTTCCAGCAGATCCCATGGCGAACAAAGAGTGGAATTATCGGCATGGACGGGCAGCACGCGCCGCAAATCGTCGTCGACTCGTCGTATATAGCCAGCTCGTCGACGTAGGCACTGTTCGACAGCTCGAGCGTGAATCCTAAATGTTCGTTGCACGCCACTCCGGGTCCTCGATCCTCGACATCGGTCCGCGACGAATCGTACAAAAGTTGACGTCTCCATCTCTCACGATCGGAACGAGCAACGGGCACGCCAGTCACGCCCATCGTCATCCTTTTGTCAGTAGGTAATGTTGTTGGCTAGAGATTTATTATTCGGACAAGGGTGTCTTGTTATTATCCATGCTCGATTCCGGTCGTTTAGGGAGCTTGTTCATCTCGACGTGTTTCTCTTTATCGAAGTTGGCTCCTTTGGAGGTTTTGTTCATTGGTTACCGTGTATTATTGTCTTTGATGACTTGATGAAGGGATTTTCAGTGTATGACTGTCTTCTTTTTCCTTTTATCGAAGTGAAGGTATTAAATGTTAGAAAGTACTGTGTAGGATTTATGGAGGTCTTGAAGAATTAGGTAGAACTGATAATTACTTACTGGATACTGATTTCGAGGGAAATAAGTTGTTGATATCCTAGTTAATGAGCAGTAAGGATTTCTATATAATTGGAACACCCCTAAAGAATAAAAAGAAAATTAAATTAAACTTAATTGTACAATAGTGAAACTGAAGGAGTATTTGAAATTTGAGTCAATATTTTCAAAAGTACATAAAATATCAGAAGATAATGACAGTTTCCAAATTTTAATCATAGAATTTAAATTTGGAATTTAAGAATTTAAATTTAAAATTAAAATTTGGATAATGGTGTAAATTAATACCAACTAAAAGTAAGTCTTACCAAGTTCCATGTTGTATAATTCACCATAAAGAAGATTCGACACCTAGCATGTCAGTTTTATTAGCATCGAAATGGATTGAGAATATCGATTTGCCAGTCGTACGCCCCATTAATCCACAAATCGCATCACATCGGAAGCGACAAAAGCTTATGATGGTCGAAATTCTTTATGCCATTGAACTCCTCTTCATTGTCACCTATAAATAATACAATTATCAATATTACTATTTCACAATAAAATAAGAAACAATTTATTTCAGAAACATATACTTCCCATAATTATACTTCCATTTACAATTTTTATTTTTACGATGTGCAAGTATACTACATATTTAAACATATACAATGATAAAATGAATAATAATTTGTTAAAATTACTTTCCAATTTAAAAACAATATTTTGAACAAACAGCAAATATATTCTAACTAAAATTCTGCATATTTTAATCAAAGTTTCCCCAATACTAAAAAATTGGGGATGAAAGAATCTGATGGATGAAAATTTTGTAAAATGGTCATATGAACATACATTGTATACCTCATTCGAAATTAATGAATCTCACGCTTTTTCATCTTTTATATCCCTGAAATTAACTTAAAAACTTGCCAACCCTTCAACTGTTAATTCCAGTTCCTCCAGATCACTCGCAATCCTCAAACTGAAGTTGAAACTCTACAAGAAGATAATAAGAACATATCCTAGGTTTCCCAGCAAATTAATAACACTCGACCCATCCATACAAAATTCCATTCTTTCCACGAAAGGGCGTCCATTAAATCGAATTTCTAAAACAAATACTTCCATCAACCCTAATCTCCATCTACCTCCTTCCTCATAATACCCAAAGAACATGGCCTAACCGAAGCTAAAATGAAGCAACATCCAAGGAAACAACGCTGCAACGATCCGATTCGTCGAAAACCCCAGCTCGCGGCATTAAAACACGTAACCCAACGAGCCCAACTTTCTAAAGCAACCGTAACTCGGATCAACCACCAAAGCACACTTCCCTGAAGCAGAGCTTGCACGCTTGCGCCGTTGGGTCGACGAGTAGCCGAAGATAGGCCACGAGCATCGGCGAAGGGTGTCCAGCAAGGAGACCCTCTCGCGCGTTATCTAAACACCGGGTGTCTCCGCGTGCCTCGGCAACAAAAAGAAAACGGACAGGCCGAAAAAAAGACGGGAAAATTGAAAGGGGGTGGAAGCGGGGGCAAGGGGAACGGAGAGAGTGAGAGAGAGAGAGAGAGTGGCGATGCACAGTGCTCGTAGGCGCGACGAGGACGCGACAAAGGGGTGGCTGGTGGCGATGAGGGGTCGCGGGGGTGACCCATGTGGGGGTGGCGGCGGCGACGGTGGCGGCGCTGGTGGTGGTGGTGAGGTAGTCATGACGACCGCAGCGACCAATCATCCGGAAGTAACGCAGCGCGAGATAACTCTGCATCCAATCAGGTTTAAAGCGGGGACGGGGCTGGCCATCCCCCGCAGAAAATCACCCCCGTAACGAAATTTCCACCGTACGAGGGTAGATATACAAAACGACAGACGGCCCTCTCTCTCGCCGTCCTCCTTTCCCGTCCTGCTCTCTTTGTCTAGCTGTCGCGTTTACCCTCGCCGATGTGGCCCCCGCGTATACTCTCGAATCGAGGATAAGCGGAGCCGATGCTGCCTCTTATCCATCCCCCAGGCCCTCCTTTTCTTTTAATTCATAATCTCGGTTCCACCGTGATAACCTGCAGCTAGTAGATAAGGATACCGTGATGTCTTCGAAGGACCAAGGTTCGGAGATACTTGGAGGGTGGTGGGTGGACGTGGAAGGCTGTTGGAAGTGGCTCAGACCACCACTGACCATGAAGGTTTTCAAGCTTCTGGCTTCCTACGTGCTATAAGTATAAGAGAAAAGAGAGTTTAGAATTTAGAAGGATTTTTTGTAACAAGTTATACGATCTACTACGTCTCGTATTACTTGCAGAAACTCGATTTTAAGTTTATAATTGTTTCTCTATGTAACAATTGTCTGTCAATACGTTGTGGATGAACTTAATGACGTTAGACCATTGGTGCTACGAAATAAAATACTTTGAGCAACATCCTACAGTAAAAGAGATATACTAGTCGTCAATAATTATACTTCTGTACTGCATAATTGTCTAATTCAGTACAGGGAATGCCATGACTTTTCTTCCACAGAGATAGATCTACCAGAGTATAAAATAAAATTTCACATTTAAATAAGTCTCTCTATTACTGCATAGGTATTTGAATCTAACGAATAAGTTCTCTTCGCTATTAATTTATCACCGATTATATTCGTTACTTTAAGAAAGAGAGCAAAATACCAAGAGATAATTCTCAGCCCCCTAATAGTTATTTACCCCGCGTTATAAACTGTGTCTCGCAAATTTTATCATTTCTTTCACTTTCACGTCGACTAAGCAGCAGCCATACTTAGCATCCAAATCTTGCACGATGCACACCGCGTTTCTTTGGAAAAATATTTCCCGGCAGCTGATAAAGCGAGTATTATGCGTTCGTGGGGCACTCGATAAATACACACCGGCTGACATTCACCACGTAAATGCGTCAGAATGCCCCGTATATGGGAAAGATGCGTTTATGGGCTGGCAGCGGCCCGATAAGAAGGCTCGTAAAACGAATGGCGGCCCATAAGTGTTCGAGGCAACTTCGACGTTGCCTTCGACGCGATCGGTTGTCGAACGTGTACCCTCCGCATTTGTCACGTTTATCGACTTCGCCATGTACACCGCACGCTTTCATCGTGACACACTTTGACGTGCGAACGAATGACGCGTTTCCATGGATCGCGAGGGGGTGCAGAGGGTTGACGGAAGTCGTGGACACTGGAAGAAAGTTTCGGTTGTTCTTAACGTTGGAACGGTGAAAAATGCTTCCAACGAAAAGAATGACGAAAAGAATAACGAAAAGGATTCGACAATTGGATAGCTTTCGTTAGATTTTAAGAGAGATGTTAGATACACACAGGTAGATCCAAGTCTTTCAGAGAATCAACTTCGGGGGATGAAAAATATCAGATGAATTAATCATTTAGTCTTTCAAGAAAATGAAAAATCGCATACCAAAACTTAATAGACGATATTACAGGAATTACTGTGCATTGGTACTCTGTCAGGTGTAAGTCTGATATCCACTTGCAGCAGTGCAACTATTACCTAACTGCGTTTGATATAGACATAACGTAATTCGACACTTTTCTAAATTTAATATGCATTCGGTATCTCATCGAATTACAAAATGTTATTAGATTTTGACCCCTAGATTATTTTCAATTTCGGTAAAGAGCAACAAGTGATACTAGACATCGTTTCGACTAAACGTAGGTACCTACAAACGAACGTCTGTATCCTGAGAATAGGTAGAATAGATTATAACAGAACAGAAATATTTCGCAGAAGTAAATAAGAAAATTCTCTTTCGTAGCAAGGATGGCTCTTCCAATGATTAAATTCCCCTCCACCAAATTGCTCAAACCTAACCTAGAGAAGTAACTATGACAAAGTCACTTTACTTCGCTAAGTAATTCGACAAGAATCGCGTGGAGAAATGGTACCTCGAAGACAATATAAACCCGTTTACGCGGAGATTCAGAGTTTTTCTCAAATCAACCGAGACGATATTGGTTGGCCTCGCGGAAAATTTCCTTCGGCCAGGCTACCCTGAAAAAACCTTCCACGATATCGAATCGCTAATCCACCTCGCGCCTTCTTGATTACGATACACGTCCAGGCGGATGGAAGGAATAAGAGGGAAAGAAAAAAAAAAGAATTTTTTTCTCATCATCCCCATCGCTCTTTGCTCTGCCTCCCTCCAACTATCCACGCCCCATCCCCTGCCGTCGTCGAGAGTGTGGGTGGATGAATTCCATCGTTATCGAGTCGCACCCCCATTTTACAAACGGGAAAGCTTCTCTCCCGTCCGCAAAATCCCTCGACCGAACGTGCATATTTCCATTTGACACGCCTCAACGACCGCCTGATTTTATTAAAAACCCCCGTAACCTGGTTCCGCTCCTCGTTCCGTCACTCTAAGGGCTGAAATCTTTCTTCCAGATGCCTTTATTGCGTGGCACTCCGTGTCCTCTCAGGTACGGAGCCTAAAAAATGTGGCCTTTTGGCGAGAGTACGTGCACGATGGATAGGTGGATGATTGGTATGGACCAGATAGGATGGAGATTATATTTGCGAACCGGAGGGTTCTGTTGTCCGTTGATATCGAGCTGATAACTCGTTTAACCCTCCCTGATGCTTGAATTTACGTGATCCATGGCGGATTTTAGATTAGCGTAACGCGTTTTTATCTCGAGGTTTACTGGACCGAGATGTTGCATATCTACCGATTTTGGATACCTTTTGGGGGGTACAAATTTTCATTTACGCGTAATGATAATATCGATTTACGCGTGTACGAACATTTTAGTACATTTCTTAGACAAGCACAGAATAATTAGTGTAAGTTTTGTCCATGCGACAAGTGGGTTAATAATATTTCAACTGTTTTGTTCGGATTATACGTAATTGCACTGCTAATTTAAGAATTCTATGAAACACGAGAATAGCAATAATAATAATTACTGTATAAATTATTACGGAGTAATTGCTGAAATAGTAAGCATTCTAATTTACGTAATTTCTATAATATAGATATCACTGACAAATTTTCTTAGCAAGGTCTAATTTTTCAATTTCGAGTATTAATTTCTCCTTTAAAATAATCTCCCATGAACTATTGCACAAAGTGCAAGTGTCAAAGGGATCAATTAAAACGAAATTAACAGACGAAACCGACGTAAGTAAATAAAAATCCAAGTATAAGAATAACAAGTATAACAGGTAACCAATCACAGAACAGCAGTACTAAAATAAACCACGAAGAAATTGGTAAATCCAACAGCTAACCGAAACCGATTCGTCTGCATTAGGAAATAATAAAAATTCGTCGTTATCACCGAGGCGTATTACCAGGAGAAGGGAAAAAAAGGTCTCGAATCGACTAAAAGCAAAACCGAAGCCCTCGTGAAAGAAAAACGCGTCCGCGTGGAATCAATGGCGCGGTGGTTGTCGCTCGTTAAGAAAAGTAGAAATTCTGGAGGACATTAATTCAGATTGGCTGAGCAGGGCAGCGTGCATGAGACGCGGATTCAGAGTTAATCGCGTTATATTTTCGAGGCCTCTCGTGCCCGGTGGAAAACGCAACCCCTTCGATAACAGTAACGACAACAGCTCGTTATGCGCCGCCATATTTGACCCTCTTCCTCTCTTGGTCCTAATTTTCAAACTCGTCTGCTGTCTTGTCGTTGCGCGTAGGACTACTGGAGAGGAATCCAGCGTGCAGACAGACACGGAAGATCGAAGGGAGAGGAGCAGAAAGAGAAAGACAGAAGTCGTAAACGAGGTCGAGTGTCGGCAGCGTATAATTTCGATGACAAGCAAAGGGGTGGTTATATCTCGCCCGTTCCTATCCTCCATCTCGCTCGCTCCGACTCGAGGACTGCGAGTGGTGAGCCACCCCTGTGATTGTATTAATTCAACCTACCCTCTCCTCCCATTTACTTCTCAGTTACCCCTCTTCCTCTACCTTCGTCCCGCAGCCTGCCACGATCTCTTTCCTGGTCTCTTTCCTCTCTCTTCGTTGTCGTTCCGCGATGGTCCTCACATCCTCCTACCAGCCATCCAACCCACCCCCTACTATTCCACAAGCGCGACCCTCCTAAAGCACGACTTCCGGAGGCAAACGAAGCGTGCGAGCGTCGATCGCCGTTGTTCCAGGCGTCGTCACCTTCCTCTGTGTTCTTCGGCTATCTCCTGCTCCACCCTCAAGACGCCTGAATATGGCCAAATTTAAAGCCGCCCTTCTGTTATTCGAATTACTCCGCGTTGGCTCTTATTCCCAGCTTGCTTGATTAAGGCCATGTTTGTCATGATCGTTGAATTATTTTTTAATAATCGGGAATAACGAAGTTGTTGTTGTATGCAGCAACGTGTCGTAGAGGTTCCCCATTTTGAGTCAGTGCGTAGAGCTAATCGGATTCTTTAGGAACCATTGTGTCCATATTGAATTATTTTCTGAATTTCAAATGGTAGCCAGTCGTGTAATGTTGAGGGTGGTAATATTGTCCTGAAACTTTGGTACATTATGTAGTTTACGCTATGGTATAATACATATATAATAGATGTATAAATTAAAATCCCTTTTCCTAGCCAAAACTCACAATCGCATATATATTAAAACCTACAAGAGAAAAATATTTACACCGATAATAATTAAATTCATCCACTGAGAATCTTCCTAAATCAGCGCTGAGTTTCAAAACAGCAACCGTTCCTGTTATCCTCGCACGCGAAATTTCAAATTCAGACGGGAAAAAAGACACGTGATATTATTCACGAGCCACAAACTGGATATCGTCCCAAATGACGTTCGATAGGACCGGCGCGAAGGAGCCGAAACCTTCCGCAGGAAACGATAGGGAATCCAGAGGAGGAGATACGTATAGGAAACGAAGAAAGAAGGGGTAGGAGAAAGAGGGGTGATATCGAAGTAGGAGAAAGGGGTACAAGCCGTTTAGCGATATTTCACGGGGCTCTCGTTCGTAAGGGTTTCTAGCCGCGCACGGTATTACTGGAGGCAGTCTTGCAAACTCGAGATAAGAGGAGACCGGTTCTCCGTTTCCGACAGTGCGAACGGGAGCTAAGGCTCTTCACCTTAGCTTCGACTTCTCGTACGCAGCAGAAGAGAATATCCGGAGAAGAAAGCCACGAGCAAACCCCTTTTGGTTGCCACGCACTGCACCATCCCTTTACGCCACCCTCTATGAACTCGGTTAATATCCTTGGCTTATCCACCGTCGCCATTCATTTTCTTCATCCTGTTTCCTTCTTTTCCTGGCAAGCTTCCTCCCTTTCCACGATAATATTGCCACCTTTCGGCTCTCTTACAGTAATATGCTCGTTATATTATAAACGAGGGTAAACGAGAAACTGTTTACACTGATTTAACCCTTTGCACTCGAAGATATTTTTCGTTGTAAATAAATAGCAATTTGAAGCTTTTCTTGAGTTTTCATAAGATCCGTGATACGTTCTATGCTAAAATCAGAAAAGAAAATTATGCGTTTGCATGAAAAATGAAATATTTCGCGTGTAACTATTTTTAATATCATTATTACTGTCACTTATTCGTTATTTAAATTATGGCATTAAAACCAATACGAGTAAGCATCGAGTGTAAAGGGTTAATTCATACTAAGCTAGTATTTCAAGTTGGTATTTTAAAATGTAGATGTAACAAGAATCGAGGTGTAAATCGTAGATTGGACGTGAAATGTTGTAAAGGATTTTCGCAATTACAATTCTTTCTTTTGGAATACCGATATTACCGTGGATATTGAGGATGTTCTACTTTTCCCAAATGAAAGTAAAATGTGTTGAGATTGCACATCGATGAAGTAAAAGAATTCTCAGAGTGTGAAAAGTTAAATAATATAGAAAATCATGCCATTCGGAATTAGTCTGAAGGGGTTTACAAGAAGAACATACTTAATGTTACGTGTGTTAATAATACGTAATATGAATATCGCGATCTCCAATTTCCATAATTTTAATAATCTCGGGACGAGGATACCAAACTATTAGAAATATTTTGCCGAGATATTAATTTAAAGTATCGTTATACTCGTCACGAACATCTTCATTTTCGTCACATAAAATCGAAGCAATTAGGCATATTTTTCAACCCCTCATCTCCATCTCCCTTCCGCGTTAACAATCATTATAATCAAACCTTTCAGGGTACTTAATTACACGATATTGAAAAGGTGAAGTATATGGTAAGTCGTTAGACACTTCTGTAACGAGTACAATACACCTTTTTCGGAATAATCGCGGCGCTCTTATTACGGGAACTTAAAGAATCGATTCTGGTTGAAGAGCCGCCGCTCACGCTCGGGTAATTAGCGACCATTTAAGTGCACGTGCACTCGAACCTACGGCTAATCCCTGCAATTTTGCTCAAGGGATGGCCAGCGTTCGTACCAATTAAAAAGAAAAAACCTCAGGGACACCCTCTCGTCGACTCGTTATTTACACCGCAAAAGAGACGCACGTGCTCGTCCAATTCTGAGCCCATAATCCTCTCTTAATCACTTGGCTGTACGCTAACAGGTGCAAAGCAATTGTCTCCCTCTTTCTTGGTCACACGAAGTCACGCGGTACTCGGAATTTTCTTTGATAATATGCTTGGAAATTATTTAAATATAGAATTTATGTTTAGTTGGAGAAGCTGGGACATAGTTCTGTTTACAAGAGTTGTCCAAAAATGCGAGATGAAAGGTTAGAATTATTTTTCCTCGTTCGATTAATGAAATGCAACAGTAAGTCATAATTTCGAAGATATCAAAAGAGAATAAAATCTAAATTAAATCTAAGATAATTGAGTTGAACGATATATTTGAATACATAAAGGTTTACAACAGGATAATAACAGTGTAGCAATTAAATTACAGATTTGTCCTTTCATTCCTGGTAAATTGGATTGAATCTTCCTTTACACTGAATTCTGATTAAATAAACAGTGTATAATTTATCTTTTCCAATATATTCCCATATTAGCTATAGTTTCAGCTACAGTCAAACATTTATTGTCTAATGCACAAATTTTACCTAGTATTTTAAAAATAAATTATGTTTGTCGACTTTATTCTACCAATTCTACTTATCATATACTGATCCTCTGAACTCGTCCAATCTTAACTTCAATTTCAACACACTATCCTATTTGCCAAAGAGACTATGAAACATTGAACGATAAACCCACAATCAGATCCATATCCTATCTCACCTTCACTCTCACATCTAAGCATTCTCCAACTCCCAAACCTCATATCCACATCATTCCATTAAATTCAAAGAATCGACCATTAAACATTCTTTCCGACTGAAGAAGACTACTTTCATCCCCTTAAACACCCTAACTCCAATCCAAATAACCGTATCATTCCATTGAACTCATCAAACCTACCACCAAACACACTCCAAACCCACGAAACTCGATCAAAACCGAGACTCACGTCATCTTCATCCCCCTTGAACACTTCAATCTCGATCCATTGAACTCACTAGAACAACCATCGAACGTTCTTCCAAACCTAGGAAGACCAAGCCTTACATCACGGCTGAAACTCGTGTCCCAACATCAATCCTGGAGCTGAACTCGCAGAAATCGCAGAGATCGTCGAAAGCTCCTCCAAACCCAGTGAGACCAAACGAGGTCGGTCATTCCCTATTCCCACACCACCCGTTATATTCCCTGGTAATGAACGCAACCACCTTGAACTGGCAAACGGATGAACGGCCAGCCAGAGCCAGTCTGTAAGAGCGAACTCGAGCCGAAGAGAGACAAAGAGACAGGGTAGGAGTCTCGTATAGGAAGAGAGAGACCGGGAACAAACAGCTAGCGGGTGGCTAGGGCAAGAGGGAGCCAAGAGACGCGGTGCTAGCCACTAAAAGGGGTTGTGTCCTCTCTCCGTGCGACGGAAGCACCCTTCTGTGTCCCGCCGCCGCCTCTGCTTTGCCTCCTTTTCCCTTTTGCCCTCCGAGGGAACTCCCACTCATGGCCAGCCGTTAACTCCGGCATTTGTACGCGTGTATACATGCGTCCCTGCATTCGAATGCCTCTGCATGCGTGTCCTCGTCCTTCATGCGTATCTGATAAGCCATTGACGGCTGGATGATCTGACGCGATTACGCGTTGCTTTGTCGCAATGCTTCTCTCCTGTCTTCTACGAGTCTGCCACTCTCTCGCTCCTTCCCTCTTTCTTTTCCCTTTCGTTCGCTTGTCGTTTAGCCAGATTTCAACGAAGACAGGTTGCACGTAGGTTGGAACGAGTCGAGGATGTCGAGTAAAGCGAACAGTTTGGAAGATTGATCAGGAAGTCTTCTGGTCTCTATCTGTAAGATTGAAGGTGTGAGAAGGTTTGCAGTGGAATTTGGGGAAGCGAAATTTGTGAAATCTCCGTTTTTGAAGGAACATAAAGAATACTATCGTGATGGGTATATTGGGGGGTAGTTGATAAGACTTCATTTTACTTTGGAAGGTTAGTTGTGGACTTTCTTGGCTTCGCTAGGTTTCATTGACACAACTTCAACCTAACTATACTACTTAATAATTAGATTCTTTTGTAAAGATTGGTTATTAGCGAAGCTTATTTAGATTTCAAGGAAGTAGAGACTATTATTTACTAATGGATTAAGAAATTCTTTTGCAATTCGAAGTTTTTAAACGGACATTTCACGCGTATAACGTTATCGTCTGTCATGGTATACCTGTTCCTGAAAAATTCGATGATCAAGACTAAATTGACTACGATGGCACACAGCGTGATAATAGACGCAACAGTCAACAAAGACAAGCCTAAAATTAATTTCCATTTCAGCGTGCCATAATTGTTACGATACACCAGAATGTACAGAGTAATTGGGATAATGGTTGATAAAGTCGATGTGCAAACAGCTCCAACCACAGCAATGAATAAATCCAATTTAGGAATTATCGCTGCTAGCAAACCTGTAATTTTGGTTTACGTTTCGTCAATTTTAAACAGTCGCCCGTATGTTTGGTCACATTTGTCGCATTTGTATTCTATGTGGAAGTACAAATTGTAGGATTTCTCTCACGGTAACTTAATTCTTACATTGCATAATCGCATTAAGCATTTTTCGCGTGTACATACAAAATGTAAGGTGAAGCAATTTCCATTCATAAACCATTTACATTCTCTAACGTAATGTCATGGGATACTATAGGGATCTTGCGTACCTACATTTTTGTATTTACTAATATTATTTTTCCAATATATTTTGGCAATATATTTGTTTATAAAAGTTTGATTCGTATATAACAAAGAAAGAAAAAGAAAAAAAAATACTTAAAATTTATCTTTGAAGTATAAGGGTAGAATAACATATACTACCCCATTAACTCTCCGACATCTATAGACAAAGTGAATCATTACCTAATTAATTTTTGCCCCCTAATTAATTTTTGAGAGTAGGATACCTCGTCTTGAAATGAAAAAATACACACGAAGTGCTATTCAAAGTATAGTATATATAATATAATGTCACTAAATATTTCATTCATAGGTGTGAAAAAGTTGATATTGCAACAAGAATACTTTGCTACGAACATGCGTGTCCAAACTTTTGAGCAACAGCGTAAATGAAGGAAGAAAGTAGTAAGGAGAAAAAGAAGAAAACGTATAAAACAGATATAGGAAAATTTGCTGGTTTTCTCACTCGACTATTTACTTGGAAAGAATCAATCAAAAAATCGAGATTCAGCCCATCGAAGCGTCCCTTATTAGAACGATGAATACTTGCGCCAAGAGTTTCGCTATGGCGAGCTACGAGAGAAACTGGGCTATCTGTACTAAATTTCCCGAAAATAGATTCAGAAACTTTGGTAATATCTAGCTTGTGATGGACTGCAATCGGATCGATTGATCGATTTCGCGAACTTCGTTCATGAGAAGGAGGGGATTCGATTCGAACTTCCCCTCGAGTTTACCTTGAAAATATGAAGAGCAAGAGAACCAGAAGGAGAGAACCAGAAATAGAAATTTTGAGTAATATCATTTCTTCATTGCGGTTATATTGATTTCATAACACTATCTAAGAAAATTTAACTTATCCTCTACATTGTGATATCCAATAGGTGATTCTTACAGAGCTTATTTTCCTGGACACGAATGTATAATCGAAATTGTCCTACCTACACTACACAGTTTTCGAAAAATGTAATTTTATAAAAAGATACGATTTCTGTCTAAAATGAAGTATTACTTAAAAAGTAAGAACGCTAGGAGATCCATTGTTGTTTCACAAGTTAGGTGAGAGAATCCCTAGTTTACTAATATCCATAATTATAACTATTTATGCTTCTGAATAAGTATAACTAGTAATAAAAATTTAGAAATAAGCCGCCGAGCGTATTTTCTACGCACTATTCTCGCGTTTTTGTATAAGGTATCAAATTTATTAGTGGTAACAAATTAATATTGTTACTAACAAATTGTTCACGACGTAAATTGATAATAAAAGTGAGAAAATTAATAAATTATTCGCTATTACTTGAATTTACAACGTGTTTGTGTTAAAATGTACCTACAATTTGCAAAAAGTTAACAAATTATTATACTGATTGTTAATAACAAATTAATATTGTTAATAGCAAATTGTTTACAATGTAAATTTATAGTAACAGTAAAAAAATTAATAAATTATTAATTATTAAGGCGAAGAAATAATAATTAATAAAATCGGCCAAGTTCGAAAATTTCCAACCGGGGTGGGGGGCATGGCCGATCGGCGGCTATATAAAGGGCGACGCGACGCAGCAGCAGCCATTTGTTAGTTCGATCTCGGAAGTGAAACATCTAAATTACATAGTGCGCGAGGGGTGGGGGTCCGAAGTGAGGTTGGGGTTGGCCACCCCACCCTCACCCCACCCCATTAATCAATTTACTAATCATTTTTCTTTTGTTTTCAGCTATTAATTTTTTTTTTGTTTACAGGTTTTAATAATTTTTTATTTTTCAGGTTTTAATTATTTTTCTTCTTTCAGATTATATTTTTTCGTTTTCATTTACTTTTATTTGACAATTCGAATATTTCGTATAATATTCGAATGTCTCGTCGTTGGTTTGATTATGTCTCATCGTTGGGTTGTTTATATCTCATCGTTGGGTTATTTATGTCTCATCGTTGGGTTCTTAATAATTATTTTTCTTCTTTCAGATTTTACTTTTTCCTTTCTTTTGTTCTTTACTTGAGAATTCGAATATTTCGTGTTATATTCGAATATTTCGTCGTTGGTTTATTTATATCTCAAAGTTGGTTTGTTTCTCTCTCATCGGTGGGATGTTCCTTCCACTTGGTTAACCTTCATGGTGTCTATTCTTTCGTTTTCTTCTACTAATCCGTTTCTTTTCAGGTTTATATTAACAATAATATATTCTGTTTTAGCTTTTAGGTTTCTTAAGATTCTCGAGGTTTCATTTGATGCACATGGATGGACAAAGCGGGGTGCTTGTGTTTAGACCTAAGTAGGTGTAAGATAGATACCTAGATTAAGTATCATGTGCGCGCTATTTGTACAAAGGTAAGCTACCTAATTTGGAGCGAAATATATCAATTCTCTATCCCCCTCGTTTACCAGATAGAACATAATTTTTCTCGCGATAATCGCGATTCTTCTTAAGTATCGACTAGCCTGCGCGACGTACTCTCTTGTACTTGATAACTACATGTTTCGTAAGTCATCCAAACGACTCGTTCCGACACTCACCCTCGCCACTGCCACCCTTGTCATGCATCGGTTCTAGGGTGGTCGGCGGGTTGGCACTCATCTGGAATCAATACGAGGGTCTGTCGGCCTTAGTCGTCCTGGGCACCAGCGCGTGCACGACCGGGGTATGGGCCCTGTAGCCGTGACACTGCATAAGGGTGGGCTAGGTTCGATCGGGAGGGTGCCGAGGCATGGAGTTGTCTTGTACACGAGAGTACGTCTCGTAGGCTAGTCGGTCTTTCGAATAATCGCGATCTCGTTCGGGCGCGTCGCGATTTTAACTTAGTTTTGCTCGCGTCTGTTGAAATAAAATATCTTAGTGTCGCGTAAATAAAGTATTAGAGTTTAGTATACCGAATCGAAGTCCCTTTTGTAAGACACGATATTTAATAAAGTGTCAGTAGCTTCACTTTAACTTCGTTCGCTCCAAGTTAGATTAGGATACCTTTGATACAGATAGCGCCAGCAGGTTGCGCCACTAGGGCGCATGTCGGGTCTCGATGCGTAGCCACCTCCTCGTGGTGAGACCTGGTAATTGGTATCCTCTTCCAAGGATTTTTCTTTGGAAAACGATACCAAGCTGAGAGCTACGCACAAAGTTTAAGATATTTGCTATCTCTTGTAAAATTGTAATATTTCCCATGAACGTTTGAGTATTTCTGAGGCTCCGAAAGTTATGTCGATAGAATTCTTGAAAATGACGTCACTTCATGGAATCAGTAGGCGACAGACCTCCTTTCATGTTATGTATTCATAATACAAAGCCGCAGAATCAGCCGAAAATTTGTCGCCGAGGCTGGCAAAGTTGTGTCCATGGAATTCACGAAAATGACGTTGTTCAAATGCATAAAGATGTATAAATAGTCAAATTCATTACTAGTAACAAATCAATATCGTGAATACTAAATTGTTCACAGCGTGAATTTATAACAAAAGTAAAAAATTAATGAAATGTGTGTCATTACTTGAATCTATAAAGTGCTGATGTTATAATATACCCACAATTTGCCAAAGGATTATAAATTTTAACACTTATTGCTAATAAGAAATTGCTCACAACGTAAATTTATAATAAAAGTGAAAAGATTACTAAATTATTGACTATTACTAGTACATATAACTTGTTTATGTTAAAGTGTCTATAATTTGCAGAAAGTTCATAAATTGCTGCACTTGTTAATAACAAATTAATATTGCTAGTAACAAATTCTCTGTAACGTATATTATAGATAAAAGTCAAAAATATTAATAAATTATTAGCTACTACTTAAACAAACGACGTATTTGTGTTAGAATGTATTCATAACTTACAAAAAGTTATTAAATGTATTGTTAATAGCAAATGAAAATTATTGATAACAAATAGTTTGCAACGTATATTAACGATAAAAGTCAAAAAAGTTAATAAATTATTAGCTACTACTTAAACAAACGACGTATTTGTGTTAGAATGTATTCATAACTTACAAAAAGTTATTAAATTAATAAACTTATTGTTAATAACAAATTAATATCATTGATATCAAATAGTTTGCAACGTATATTAACGAAAAAAGTGAAAAAGTTAATAAATTATTAGTTATTACAGCAGAAAAGTAACTTTTAAAGGAATCGGTAATGTTCGGAAATCTTCGCCGATCTTCGACCGGCCGCCGCTATATAAGGGGCCCGCGTGGAGCCTAGAGTTAGTTGTCGCTTCGACTTCGGGGGGGGTGCGTTAATATTTTTTCGGTGGGGAAGGGGTTCCGAAAGTGAGGTTGTAGTTATCAGTGGTCATTGACTAGACCTTTGGCTAGTCGATAGCTACTGTATACTACACCCACACCCCAACCTCTTAAATAATTTAATAATAATTCTTTCTTTCAGGTACTAATTATGTTTTGTTTCAGGTTTTAATTATCTTTCTTCTTTCAGATTCTATTTCTTTTATTCTAAATTTCATTGTTTGTGCATTCGAGTATTTTGCACAATATTCGAATGCTTCGTCGTTGGTTTATTTGTATAACATCGTTGGCTAGATCAATGGCTCTTCAGTGGCCATTGTTCACTCTCTTAAATAATTTAATAATAATTCTTTCTTTCAGGTACTAATTATGTTTTGTTTCAGGTTTTAATTATCTTTCTTCTTTCAGATTCTATTTCTTTTATTCTAAATTTCATTGTTTGTGCATTCGAGTATTTTGTACAATATTCGAATGCTTCGTCGTTGGTTTATTTGTATATCATCGTTGGCTAGATCAATGGCTATTCAGTGGCCATTGTCCACTCTCTTAAATAATTTAACAATAATTTCTTCTTGCAGATTTTATTTTTTTCATTCTATGTGTCTTTGTTTCAGCATTCGAGTATTTCGTATAATATTCGAATGCTTCGTCGTTGGTTTACTTATGTCTCATCGTTGGCTAAATCTTTCCTTTCACAAATTTTACGACTTCCGTTCGATTTGTTTTCGTTAGAGCGTTCGAGTATTTCGTATAATACTCGAGCGCTTCCTCGTTGGTATGTTTATATCTCACCGTTGGAATGTTTCTGTCTCGTAGTTATGTTGCTCAGGTCTCGTCGTTGGCTTGCTCGTTCCATTTGGTTATTATCCTTGATGGTTTCCTCGTACTAATCCCTTTCCTTTCAGCTACATATTAACAATAATATATTCTGTTTTAGCTTTTAGGTTTCTCAAGATTCTGTTTGCGACACATCAATGAACGATGCGTGCGTTTACTTTTAAGTAATCATAAGATAGATCCATAGACTAAGTATCATGTGCGCGCTGTCTGTACAAAGGTAAGCTACCTAATTTGGAGCGAAATTTATAAATTCTCTATCATTTTCTTATCCCCCTCGTTTAGCAAATAGAACATAATTGTTCTCGCGATAATCGCGATCGTTCGTAAGTACCGACTAGCCTACGCGACGTGCTCTCGTGTACTCGATAAGTACATGCTTCGTAAGTCATCCTCACGACTCGTCTCCGACACTCATTTCCAGTCACTGTCAATCTCGTCATGCATCGGGTTCCAGGGTGACCCCCTCGGATCAGTGCGTCTTCTGACCTCGACGGGGCGGTCCGCTGCCTAAGTCGTACGCGACTGGGGCTCGGGCACATGCTGGCTGACGGACTAGTACCATCTACGGTTAGACCACAGGGATGATTAAGTTCTACCCCGTGTGGCTGGGATGCGAAGTGTCTGTCTTGGCCGGCAACCGCCCAGCAGGGCCCTCGCGTTGACACTAGAAGTTTCATTGGTTCAGGGACTATCCTTGGTCCACGTGTAAGTCTTGGCGAGTGCGACAGTGACTGGAATTGAGCTAGGCCCGATCGGGAGGGTGCCGAGGTATGAAGTTATCTCTGTACACGGGAGTACATCGCCTAGGCTAGTCGGTCTTTCGAATAATCGCGATCTCGTTCGGGCGCGTCGCGATTTTCTATTTGCTCGCGTGTTTGATATTTCATTCCCTATTTTTATGGGAACTTGAAAATATCTTAGCGTTGCGACAGTAGAGTTTCAGTATACCGAACCGAAACCCCTTTTGTAAGACACGAAATATAATAAAGTGTCAGTAGAGTCACTTTAACTTAATTCGCTCCAAGTTAGATTAGGGTACCTTTGATACAGGTAGCACCAGCAGGCTGCGCCACTAGGGCGCATGTCGGGTCTCGATGCGTAGCCACCTCCACGTGGTGAGACCTGGTAATTGGTATCGTTTTTCAAAGAGAAATCTTTGAGAAACGATGCCAAGCTAAGAGCTACGCTCTAACTTTAAAATATTTCCAATCTATTGTAAATTTTCAATGTTCGCATTGGACTTTGAAAATAAAGAATGACCATAAAGAGAAAACAAAGATTGTTTGTCACGAACAACTCCACCTAATTTTTGGATAAGAATGAACCTTCTAACATTTTGCCTTCTTATGTAATACTTCATTTTAGCCAAAAGTCGTACAATTTTCGGAAACTGAAGGTGATGGAACAATTTAGATTACAGATTCCTGTTCAGAGAAACAAGCATTATAAGAATCAACTAATGGATATTACAGATTAAAATTGGGTAATTAATAAAGCAGAAGGAAATATGAACACTATCATGGCATGCTTTTGATAATAGCAGGATAAGAAATTTAAGAAGAATTTAGGAGTTCTCTTTTTAAAAGGTAAAGAGAAGATCATTCTTAAATGTTCAAACCATAATTAGGCTACTTAAATAGGAAATAAGAAAAGAAAATGCAAACCTGGAATTTTAAATGGAATTATATCTCACAAACTTTTTAGAGGAACGATAGGTGAAGAATTTCTATTAAAATTATTTTAAGCACTATGACTGTTTCTCCATGAAGAAATTTAAGAAGAAGATAACAAATAAATCTTTCTTTTACATAAGAAAGGAAAAGAAAGAATATTCTAAGAGACAAAGTACATAATAAAGCTCATTGTCAGAGTGAACTAAGAAAAGGGAAGATAAGAGTTTCTTTGAAAAAAGAAAAAGATTATGTACATGTCATAAGAGTGATGCCAAAACGAATACACATGTTCCAACAAAATGAAGTTCCAATGTAAGACCGTTCGTTGAGTGCTGGTATAATATACTCCTCTAGTAAGATCACTATTGGCATGTAGCATTGTAATCCGTATGTGAAATATATTGACAGACCTTGCATCGTCAATGCAGTTATTTTTGGTCTACGAAATAAATAATTATAAATAGTTTTATAAATGTTCATTATGGTATAATTCGTTTGGACGATCGAAGAACGGGGAAGAAATATTTACACGTCGTTTACTGGCTGGTTTCGAATGAAATTGCCCACAGAATCAGTACCCCATTTCAAGTAACCAATTACACCGACGAAAGTGTGCAGAAGAGTTATGTGTGCCATACCATGGTTCAGTACTCCGGTAAATTTCGTGAAATTCCATGGCTTCTCCATGTTGTGTTGTAAAGCTAATATCTATAATTAAATAATACATATATATTATAGATATTATTATAATAATTTAATTTAAATTAAACTAACTTAGTTTAATATATTCATAAACAGTTCATCTTTAAAAATTAGATACCTCCCATAGCTACAACCATAATTATTATAAAGATTATAATATTATATTATTGTAAAGAAAACAGAATACTAAATAAACACCTGTCATATTTGTTCACCAGCAATTAACTAATTTTTTAAATAAAAACAAGTATGAAGAAGTGACATAATTGCTACTAACAGTAACTAAAACTTACTAATCCCGGAGAACTCATGCTGAAGAAGACAGTTCCAACGAATTTTGGATACAGACTCACGTCTGGACCAATCACGTGCCATTTATCTCCAATCCCATCTTTCAATGCATGTATTATCCCTAACAACGCGGAAATGAAGAGCAACAAATTTCCAATTATTGACATAACAGCAATATCGTATAAATGTTTTATCATATTCATTGCGAGGAACAAAGGAAACAAAATCAAAGCATAATATCCTTGGTCTATGGTTTCCTCAAAGTCGAAAAATTCCTGTATGATCCCAGATATGAATACAACGTAAATTGCACCGATGCCTGTGTAACATATTATGATTGCTGCATGAATGATGCATCTGGAAAATTCAAATTCCTCCAGTAAGATCCCATATATATCGGGAAATTTTATTTATGTTTCAGATTTTTTTACTTAATATAATGGATGGATGGACCAATATTATAATATGAAACGATCACTTGTAAGTGTTACAATGTTATTTTTAGAACATTTAAAGCTGACTGTCTTCCATCATTTTCCTGCCTTTCTTAATTTGAGTTCGATATAAAATCTGGAAACTTTGATGACTTCAAAACAAATTTCTTAAATACCTCTATTTATCAGAAAATTAAGATATATAACGATATTATGAAAGTGTAAATGAAGATTTTATGAATACTTTATCAATACTAAGACGCTGCTGATGATATAAAAATATCAAAGCTAAATGAAAAATTATATAAAAAATCCTGAATTATATAAATTCTTTTATGTACCTCGAGTACAATCAAATATTCAACTGAAAATGTATTTATTCGCTTATCGAACATTTTGCTCCAAATAAATACCGTGATTGACCAGTGAGTCATAACAATTTGAAGAGAGCAAATAAACGAACAATGGAAATAGCTGAAAAATATAAAAACCTCTCTGGTAATATTAGAAGAATTATCGATATTTCTTTAAAAAATATAAATCTCCATTATAACTTAGTCCATCCACCATGAAATCTAACAAAGAATACGCGTGCAAATTTACAAACGTCACAACTCGTGTAGACATCCATGATTTTTGAACACTCGTCGTTAAACTAGCGACGACTACTTCGTCGTAGTGCAATATTGGCTTCCTTAAATGAATGCACATCTTGTGGTGAATCTTAACCAATATGTGAAGAGATCCAGTAATCAGTACACCCATCAGAATCGTGCCGATAACACCGATAACCAAGCCGACACTGGCAAACGCGTTTGGCATAGCAAACAATCCCGTACCAACTGCACTTTTCACTAAATTCGCCAGCGATTTGAAGTCACTGAATTATGCAAATTTTTCAGTTATTAAGCAGTCGTATGTATACACCACAACTCGAAAAGTATTTGAACACTTGGTTTCGAAACTCGATGCAACTTAATTAGGAAATTATGAATAATTCGATATGGAGTAGTTCTATTCCCTTTGATCATTTCTGTTATATACGAATATTACTCTATACTAATTTCTATATTATCTAATTCTGAATAGTATTATTGCCAATCAAAGTCAACATCATCAAAAAGGTACATGATAAAGAAGATTGGTATTTGCAACTATCACAGCTTATTGTACTATTTTGCTATTTAACAAGCTCTTTAGGGTCTTCAAAATTTCTAATTTCTAGATTATGAATTAAACAGAAAACAGGGAAACTATTAACTTAAGATTATTTATCTAATGATAACAAAATTGGTGATTTTTGATAGATAATTTAAATATGCTAAATACCGAATCTGGTCATTAACTCGTACTATTCATACAAATAAGCCAAAATGTTCATACATCGGCGAGTTGAGGTGTATCGTGTGTAAAGCTCGGTCGACACTTATAATTAGTATTAAACAAATGATTATACGAGACTGGTTTCGTTGTCACTTGCTGAGCATAAGGATCGTAAGGTTCATCTTCGTTTGGTGGCACTCTTTGTTCACTCATTTGTCAGATCTAAATCTACGATAAACAGTAAAGAATTTAAAAAACGGAAAATACTACAGAAATTAATATACAGACAAATAACTAAAAATAGAGGATGAAAGCTAGGATTTTAACATATTCACTATTCGCTTATTTCTGTTACTTAAATTATATATTCCTCTAATATAGGAATATTAGGATTTTCTCTCCATTTCCAATTTGACAGTCTCACGATTATCAAACGAACAAAATTATATAAAAACAATTCAAATTAATATCTCTTCGATGTGTCGTACAAATTACAAAAGAAACGAAGAAACCCTAAAACCAATTACAAATATCCCACAAAAATATACATATTTACAGGTTATATCTACGTCTGTGTTGCAAAGTTCAATCCGAAAGACCCAGGAAATTCAGAATTGTAAAAGAAAACACGTCTAAGTCTAATCCACTTAACCCACTAATCTCTCCCACCCCAAAATGCAACGATTCCCGTTTAAAATCCAAAACTAACCCGAAATGATCGATTCTTCTCGTAAAAAAGACGCACTTGCACGAACTCCTCCGAACATATCCACAATGCCAAACACGGATCGATTACTCGCGGCTAAATTTTCTAAACATCAAACTAACTCGACTGAAACCACCTCAGTCAACGCGACGTCTTTATTCCAAGCTCCTGCTTGCACCCCCGAAAAAGACGTCTCTGACACCAAAGCTAAATAACACGAAATACGATCTTAAACAGCTTTGAACGGGACCAAGGTAGAAATTCCTTTTCAAAACATTTTTCAAACTATCGGTCGCGTCCGTCTTTTTCTCACGGACGACTGCGGCAGATTGCTCGACATTAACATGAATTTCTCGCGCAACTAATTTCCAGCGAGGCCCGGGACGACGTCTAAAGACAGAATAAGGCTGGATACCCGATTCCCGGCCCGGTATTGTGATCCTCTCGCTCGGCTGGGCCGAGCTGACCGACTTAGCGGGAACGTGAGTTCAGTTACGGAGATTTTCCCGGGGGATTTAACGCCTCGCGGCTCCTCACGGATTGGATAAAAGGGATCATCGGCGTGAGCTTGAACCGTGAATCGTGGTTAAGGCCACGACGACAAACCGCTTTCTTTTCAACCGGGCAACCCGACGGGGATCGGGGACAGGACTATTCGCGTCAGCGCGTCATTACGAAGATCGGAATCGTTACTTTTTGAAATTAATGTCCATCGAAATTGCTCACATTGACTATCGATCGAAAGTGTTATCAACTGAAATTGCCATTAATCGAAACTGTTATTAATTGGAATTGCCATTGATCAAAAGGACTATCGATCGAAACTGTCATTAATTGAAATTGTCACTGATCGAAGTTACTAATAGTCGAAGCTAAAGGTTAAAGTGTCATTAGCTGAGATTATTACTGATGGAAAATGATAGATAATCCTATGGGTAATGCGAATGAAGCTAAAGTGTCATTAGCTGAGATTATTACTGATGGAAAATGATAGATAATCCTATGGGTAATGCGACTTGTAATGTGTGTATAAACTAAAAATAACCAACTATTTGTCGGTGATAAGACGAAATTCCTATTATTTGCCACAAATATTTGTCATATTCATATTAAGTTCTCTATTCCACTACAAAAGTAGTATAATAAACTCCACTGCTTCACATTCAGTGACATTACTTATGCGATGATCCTACTTTCTTCTAATTATTATTCAATATCTTGGCGATATTCAGTTATGAATTATATCAAGTAGGCGTCATTAATTTAGTTCTAAGATAAGGATTGAAGAATTCTATGTCATAGAAATGGAATTGAGCCTATCCCTATTTTGACTGATCAACCGACTACAGTTTAGACTATAAGGAATAACGAGGTGTATTATGATTGACCTATAATTTAAGGTTAATCCCAACGATTAACTAAGGGTAGCTTTAGCGATTAAAAGAGCACGTTATAAATAATAGGTTTTAAAACAATCCCTATTCTGATTCCAGCGCTGCTGGAGTTATAAAACGATATTTTTGTCTCCTTTAAACCCAGACTTGGGTTCCAAACCCACGTTTAATTAGCCTTATCGCGTAATTTAATCCTAAAATGTACAATCTCATTTGTCCATTCGCAAAATTGGAGATAGCCAAACACAAGTTGTTCCCTTATACTCATTAAATTCATGCATCTAGGTACAACTTCCATTCAACCCTTAACCCAACCACATTTCCTCCTAATTATTCTAACACAGCTTAAAACCATTATTAAAAGCTCCATACGCATTCCCACTTACCCCTAGCTATCGTAATGAACAAAAATATCGGGAATCCAATGCAACCCTGTAGAACCTAGCCATCGCAGATGAGGCCTATTGACACGAGTCGACGAAACGTGGACGGTGCCAGAGCAGTTAGCGTCCGCCGACAGAGGAACAAGAGCCAAAGCTACACGTTTACCGGTGTTGTACACGCGCGATCTACGCGCGAGGGGACGATAATGTCGGGACGGCGTCCCGCGGCGCTAGACTGTGACTAAATCCGCGGTGCCCATGCAGTGTTTACACTCGAGATGATGCCTCCTAATGCTAATACGCGGCCTGGGCCGGTGCAACGCGGCCTCTCCTCCAGTTTCTTAATGCTCAATCGCAATCCAATGAAAAGTGTATGAATGGCAAGCGATTATCAAGTCGAACGGGCGCCCTCAATGTGTCCGTCGAGGCGTCCGCGGCAACCCTGCTGCGTTAACCGACGTCGAATCCGGACCAAATGGTACGAATTCGCCGCCTTTCCCTCCCTTTGCGACGTGTCTCCCTCTTCATTCGATCGTTGGTCCCTCCTTTCGTTCTCCGCTTTCAATCTCATCCATCGAGCTTATTCCTCGTTCTCTTTTTCCTTCTTTCCTCTCTCTCTTGTCCTCTCTCTTGCGAGGTCGATCTGTCTTTTTCTGGTTCCCTTTTTCGAGGATTCAGGCGGTCACGCTAACTGAGACCTTCGACGGGATTCGTAACGGAGCACGTGGTCGAACTTCCGGCTCACTCGCCGCTTAGAATCGGGTCAAAGAGCAATAAGAAGCGTAATTACTATTGTTGGCAAACGCGATCGGTGAGATGTTGGAAGAGAAGCGGTTGATTGGTCGTGATCGAAGGCACAGTCTCTTGCGACCGATTTGTAATCCATTCTTCAATTTTGTCATTCAATCTGATGACTTTTCTTATGACATACCTGTAATCAATTCTTTAATAAGCACATATTTCGTTTGTCTTTCTGCTTTTCCTTCTAAGAGTTAAATATAGTCTGCTAAAGAAGAATAAGAAACACCGATAAGGGTGAAGAGAAGAAGATTCACGTATTCCACGATACGCAACGATCCCGAACGAACTTACTCTTCGATTCTATTCGGAATCATTCATCGGAAGCATTCAATTAATTCCCACGAAGCACCACAACAGAAAATCAAAGTAAAATTCATCCGGAGCAAACAAAGCCGCTCATTTTCTCCTGATTAAACCTCTCAAACACACGACCTTAACAAAAACTAGATCCAAAACCGAAGCGATGCGATGCATCCCAGGCACCCAGCACACCAAGCCCTTCCAACGCATTACACAAGAATAATTACTCATTAACATAACCGATAATCAAAGACTTAAATACCATCGACAAAATCTAACACCCTCTGCGCATGCAACCCTCCGCCACCCCGAGCAGCCCTGCTCCCGCATCGCGAACAGGAGTCAAAAAATTAATAATCCGATGGGTCAGTACAAACGCAATCAAACCGGGACCCGTTCAGAAGTCTCATCCGTCAGTTATCCAGCGTGCATGCCTCACTTTTCCATACCGTTGCGCGGCAAAATGGCCGCAAAGACTACCTCTTCCTCCCCTGCACCGCTCGCCGGGGGCGAAGCAACATTTTGACACGAGGCGTTTATCGGGAATCGAGGTTTGCTGAAACGGAAAGCGTAACAGAGGCACAGCCGGTTTTGGGACGCATTCGAAAAATCGCTGCCCGCGAAGGTTCTTGCCGCTGACGTTTTTTGGCCGCGTGCAACGAGCCCCTCCGGGGGTGGCGAGGAGAGTGATGCAAAGAGAGAGAGAGAGAGAGGAGAGTGTAGAGAAAAAAAGAGGGAAAGAAGAGGCGAAAGGCTCGAGGCTCAACGCAACGGAACCGTTCCACCGAGCGATTCTGTTTGCCGACACGCACGTTCAACGAGAAGGATCGTTTTTCGGAGTCAGTGATTCGAATCGCGAGCTTCTGCCCGATTCCGATGTCCTGGAGGGCGCTTGAAAATTTTGCACGTGCCACCGTAGAAACCGGGTCGACGACGGAGTGCCACTCCGCAAAGCCAGGGGTCGAGAAAGGCATCGAGCTGGAGATGGTAACCAACCTCTCGTCCTCGAACGGCTACTCGCTGGCCCGTCACAGATTTCCCCTACCCCGTGGAAAATTGGTCATCCGTTCGGACGCTTAGGTGGAAGGTCCGTGAGCTGCTTGGAGATGTTGTTTCTTTGGATTTATGGGGTGTCGCAGGTTCGGGCTGCAGAGGTGTCGCTGGGCAAGGTGCCGAATCTGGGTTGAATGGTCCAAGATTAGGGTAGATTACAGCTCCTCGTAGGCTCCGTTTGCGGTTCGAATTATCGTGAAGAGATGATACGACAGGGCAGTGAATGACGAAGAAAAATATTAGGGAATTTTATACCTCGTTCTAGCTAATTGGTTTATTCATTTTGATGACAGGTCTACTCTGAACAGCCTTGGGTTAGATATCTGAAATAGCATAAGCTTCGACAATTTATTAGAAATAGTGCGGAAAATAATCATTGTCAATATTACTCATTGACAATATGTGAAATTGTGAAAGTGTAATACAATTTTCTACGGATACAAAGGTACAAAGATACAAGGTTCTTCCAGAAATTCCCAAAGTAAGAAGAATCGAACTGTAGTGTCCACAAATAAAAATTCGAATTAAAATATTATAATTAAGGAAGATAAGTGATTCGTACGAAATTGAATTCCTGCTTATCGATTCGAATTATAATTAACTGCTTGAATTTATTTTGCTCCTAATTCGCCTGATGATAACTGTGTGTACCATAACGTATTTATAGCTGCAGGGCAATTTGTCAAACTCCAAATTGAAGGAAATAGTGACAGGAAGAATAAAGTGTGTAATAGCAGAGAATTATCCGATAATGCAGAGATGTTTGAGTCGGAATGAGAATTAGGCGAATGTTCGAGGTTTAATTTCACAGGACCGGGTAAGATGAAAAATCGCGAGTTAAGTCAGATGTTCCGAGTTATTCTTCTGTCGAATTACGCACAGAAACTGATCGAGGACACCCGTCGGGCTTACGTTCCGGAATAATTTAATGACACGACCCTCGAATGCTCCGCTTCTCTGCCTCTTGTTGCCGCGGGCCGAATTTGGTTAAACGCTTCACAATTAAACAGGAAATCGGTATACCGACATCGTGACAACGAAACTTAACTTTAACTAGTATTTTAGTTGCGAATATCTGATTAGAAAAATTCATATGAAAATGTCATCGAAACAAGATAAAATAGAGTTGGAGTAAATCGAAGGGGTCTAAGTAGAAGAGCTTCGAAAGTAAGGGGTGCTTTTATATTTGGTACGCTACTCCGTTCTCAGGAAAGTTTACGCTCGCCTTTATATCAATCTACAATCTGTAAATTTCGTGTCTTTGTGGTATTAATTTTGCAATAAATATGCAATAATTACTTGCAATATATATAATTTTTTGTATGCACTATGGCAATCATTAATCGATAGTCCCTAATATATTTTCACTATCAAAAAGTATTAAGAATATTTTAATATTCACGTATAATGGAAACAAATACCATAAAACTGTAAATTTAATTACAATTCACGAAAAATATATAAATTGTTAAATTTATCGTTAATAACAAATGAATATTGTTAATAACAAATTTCACAAACACAAATCTACAAAAAAAGTTAAAAAATTAATAAATTTACATCCATTATACGTGCAAATTAATTATCAATAGAATCGGGAACGATCGTGATCTTTCGTCGATATTCGACCGATCACCTATATAAAGGTCGTCGCTCAGCTGTTTCGATCATTTCTTTGTTTCAGGTCAGACGAGGAGCATCTAGCTCTTCAACGAGGATGGGTTGGTGATGGCCGTGGACCAGTGATGACCATGGGAGTTGCAGAGGTCATCTAGCCGTTAGCTACAACCGACACTACTCGCACCGATCTTCTTCTGGTATAATTTAATAACAATTTTATTTTGTCGTTTTGATTTTCGTCGAGGGGGTCGGATGAGTGGTTGGAGGTGGAATTGGAGGTGGGGTAGGGGTGAACGGTGGTGACTGGCTAGACCTTTTGGCTAGCTGATAGCCATTGTCCACTCCACACCCCACTCTCCACATTTTTAATAAAATTTTCTTTCCAGATCTTCTTTACAGTTCTATTCTTCTCTCGCTTCGATTTATTTCTATTTGAGAATTCGAATATTTCATATAATATTCGAATGTTTCGTCGTTGGTTTGTTTGCGTCTCATCGTTGGGTCGTTTGTGTCTCATCGTTGGGTTGCTCATTTCATTTGGTTAATCTTCATGGTTTCTATTCATTTCGCTTCTATTTTATTTGCTGTTACTAATCCATTTCCTTTCAAGTTTATATATTTTTATTACAGGTTTCGAGATATCGCTGAACGATGTGGGATGCGTGCGTTCAGTCCTAAGTAATTATAAGTAGTTATAAGATAGATTACTAGGCTAAGTTTCATGTGCGCGCTTTCTGTACAAAGGTAAGCTACTTAACTTGAAGCGAATACATTCTTTCTCTCTTATCCCTCTCGTTTACCAAATAGAACATAAGTGTCGTACAACGATCTCTAACCGATCCATTTTACTATACTCAAATCCATTTCCAGAAGCTAATATTCAACTTTTCCCAAATCTCTACTAAACCTTTTGACCAGCGGCGATGCTTCGAAAATAATCGAGATCGAATTGAACAATTATGCGACTTCTCTCAGTTGCTCCTCTCATCCTGTCAAAATGTCGTACGCCGAATTCAGCCATGACGCGTTCACTTTGTCTCTCCGCAGACTTTGACAGAGAGCGTCAAAACCGCAGGAATTACGAGTCTACCGTCGAAACGAAACGAAACGAAACGAAACGAAACGAAACGAAACGAAACAGAACGAAACGAGAGAAAAAAGGAAAAAGTAGGAGGAGAAAAAACGAAAAAAAGAGGGAGAAAAGAGAAAAAAAATATACACGAAGAGAATAACATCGGTAGGATGAGGAGGTAACGGGAACAGAGGCAGAGAGTAAAAGAGGCGGCATGACAAACACACAGGGACCGCGGTGGCGTCGAAACCATAAGAGTGTGAAAATGTTTTGCAATTTCGAAATCAGCCGTGGCCGCCAGTTTGCGCCAAAGCGCGTTACCGGAAACTGCCAACCAGTGGGCCAGCTCGACCAGTGGCCGCCGCCGCAAAAGCGGATTGCGGTTCCGCCGGGTAACACGCATTAAAAACGCCTCACGCACACGCTGCCTCGTGTCTGCCGGACTTTGTCTCGCTTGTTCCGTGTTTTTCTCTCTTTTCCACGTTTTTAAAGGGAAAAACAGAAAGCTTCCATTTCTGGCCCTTTCCATCCTCATCTCTGCCTCTTTCTCCCTCACCTTCTCTTTTCCCATTCCTGCATTCCTGCTTCCGTTCTCTGTCCTTTTTATCCTTTTTTTCCATTTTCTCCTTTTTGTTTTCAACCGGTTGCGTGGAGTAATTTCTGCATGTTGCGAATGCCGCTCATTCGCGCACGATCTGCTGGAAAAAACAATGCGAATAGGATTAACGCTGCCGGTGTAAGCCAGTTGCGGTAAATGCTCTGTTCTCTGGTGAAATTTACTTGCGCGGATTAGCGGTTTATCCGCGAATACATCGATGCGAAACGGAGGATAGATTTGCGTTGATGAATGCTGTGGTTTTTGCGGTTTAGCGGTGGTGTTGGTAGGCGGGGGGGGGGCGATGTGTGCTATTTGAGTTTTCGTTTCTTCGCAACGAAGGAGGTTATATCATAATACAGCTGATGCGGAATGTAAGAATACGGTGCCTCGAGCTTTGTGCGTTAATTATTAGTACTTTGTGTATTTCCAAATCGTAAATTTTTATCTGATAATTCGAGAATCAATAAGATTTTCAAACGACGGTTTCATGATCCTAGAGTGTAAAGTAAAGGATAATAATGTCGAAAAATCTAAAAGAAATACTACTATCTATATATACATAATATCTATTGCTATTTATAGATATTGAGCATATAAAGAGCAGATGGAATAAACTTCATAATCAATTTTCACATATTCAAATGGATAATAAAAGTAGATATTAATACAAAAACTAAAAGAATCAGTCCCTCCATGAAAGAGAAAGTATAGTTAACAACTAATAGATAACTATCCTATTATTATAACATGTTGTACAATGATATGTTAAAACACATCAAGTTAAAAGACATATGTGGAACTTCCTAATGAAAAATCAATTATCCTGCCAAGATTATATTTGACAAATTCAACATTAGCCTAAATATTGATAAAAGAATCAGATTATCTGAAAAACTATTTGAACATCACGTATCTACTTAGATATCCTATAATTCCTCTACAAAACTTTTAGAGACCTCTAAAGATTCTTTCATAGAACGCATACCTCAGAAGTTCTTCGCAGTTTTCAAGTTATGCGACTCACTCTACGTGATACCATCAAACCCGTTGCCCATTTAAAAAGAAATATTATCTCCGTGCAATTAAACTTCAGTTAACTTAATCTCAAAGTGGAACGAAGAAAATGCAATCTGCCCAGTCGCACTCTGTGATACTTATCCAACCAAAGTTCCCATAGCCAAGAGTCCTCAGCTTGGTACCCCACAAACACACCCTGCGCCTTTCCATTTACCTGGACATTGCGATTCGCGCATGTTTATTCGCTGAAATACAGCAGCAAAAAAGAAGAAGACTAATAAGACAAAAGCGAATAACAAAGCGGGACAAATTCCTGTAACCCTTCCGGGACAGATTCCAGACTCGAAAACAGACTTTCCTGGCCGTGCATATGTATGCGCATGCATACGAAAATATTCGCGAAGCGAACCATAAGGACGGATCCGAAGATGTCGTCGGCAAGATGAAAGGATCATCCCTCTGTACGAGATCGTCGTCAAAGGGACACGCGTGTCTGGTCCCCCGCTGTGATTTTCACTCGACTGCTCGTCGCCGTCGTCTCGCCTTGGTCCCCGAGTCGCATGTTATTGCCGCTCCTCGTCCAGTTAATAATACATCTCTTCGTCTTTCGCTACTGCCAACCGGCTGTCTACGTGGCCCATGCACAAAGAAAATTCTTTCTCTTTTAAACACCCCCGCTTAACGATTGCACGCACCCCGTGCGCGACCCGACACTGGACGACGAGGTGTGCAACCCTTTTTCGACTGTCGCGCTCCTTCCAGATGTAGAAACTTGTTCTGTCAATAAGATGAAAAGATTGATTTATTCTGTTATTCGAAACTATCTGGATAATGGTTTCCGAGAGGATGAAATTTAAATTAGGAACGGAATTATGATACATGCTGCGATTTTAATATATCACAGGGGAACTATCAAAGTATCAAATGTATCAAATGTATTATTGAGGAGTGCTGCAATGAGACAAAATTGAATTTTTGTGCGTAACTCATTGAATTAATGTGCAACAAAATATTGGAGGTCGTAATTTTAAGTCTGATAGAACTCGATGGCTATTTGGAGAACTTTGTATCCTGAAATTGTTCAGCTGTTGCACTATTAAAAAGGAAATCCCATAAACTACACTGTCATATCGTGGATTTAATTACAGAACACTATGAATCTCATAAGATGATGAATCATTCGTGGAATTATCATTGCCTTTGAGCTCTGACAATTTGTGTATTATTATGATTGACTGATTACATGTCTGAATACTTACAATCTGCAGTATGGAGTTTAAGATAAAGAAGAATATGAGTTAAGTTACTATGAACAATTTATGAACTAAGGGACTAATTTTCTACCTCATAAGAAACAAAATATTTTTACATAATAATATATCCTACACCGTAAATATAAAATATCTAAAACTGAAGGCAAGAACGATCTTCCATCATGCTTTCTCCCTAATGAAAATTCAATATGTAATACCCACTTCGAACCTTACGCTGAATATCTAAATTTAAGACCTAAAAATCCACATTCTCTCCCTCTCTGCCGCAATCCCCAACTTCTACCTCCACAAATCCATCGATAACCCCACTTTCGTCCACTCGCATACAAAAACATACCTAACAAAACATCAACGATCGTAAACACTTAATTACACGAAACCCCGTGATACCCCTTCCGAAGAACAATCCTCCCCAAAAGGAAGCCACGTACGAACCCCCTTGTTGGTCAGCAATGGAGGAAACTAAAACGAGAAGAAGAATAAAATAAAAAGGAAAAAAAGCAATGGAACTTCGACTTACAGATCACGCATCGAAAGAGAGCTCTCGTTATTGTCGGGAATCGTTCTTAAAGAAACGTATGCGGCACCGCGTACCCACGATCGGGTGGCCGTGTCGATAATATCGGCAAGTGGAGCGGAAGATATGGCAAGAGAAAAGCGTGGAACAAAAAATCATGTGCACCGAGTGACGTCGAGGCAGGGTGTCCCGTGCAAGTTTTCGTGATGCCCCCCACAGGGGTCGAGCCCCGACGGGGGCGCCGTTTCTGGACCCTGTAATTTGAAATCTTCACAGGAAGAACCGGCTCGAGGGGGCCAAGGAGACGGGAAATATAACTGGCACCCCTCACGGCCGCAGCGCCACCCCACTTATTCTTCGGCGACAATGCAGCAAACTCACGAGAAATTCACCCTGCAATCAGCCGCGAAGTCAAACGTTCTCAGGAACGTGTGCGATGAAAAAGCCACGTTCGCATGCCTACGGGACCGGCAATCGAGTCGTTATTAACCGAGGAATCACTTTTGCTGATTGTTAGTTCGATTCCCGAGGGCACGCTTAAGAGACTTAAGTGCCCTCGGAGTCTTACATTCTGCTAATTTATCGCTGGACGTATGGTTCGCGTCCTGTCTTTCACGTGTCGTGGTGAATTCTGTGGTGTTCTCTCTGGTGGTGACGAATATTTTTCATGTAACTCGTGTAAGAGAAGATGTATGAGCTCCGCTTCGTCGTTCTTTGTAACTCAAGGAATCTTGAAAACTCTGCAATTTTTGATTTTATAATTATTGAGCCAATTCAGATAATGATACTGAATTTTGTTAAATTGGTAATAATCGAGGGTTTCATATCTTCATGAATTTAAAAACTCAAATCCAAGGTTTACTCTTCTGTTTGTTCATTAAACCAGCGTTCATATACTTTTAATTGCTACCGATAACTTTATCAAATTTTGTCGAAAAGCGTGATTCAAGCTCCATTTAGACAACAGTTTGCCATCAGATGCACTTTCGTTCCCAGCATTTATCAAATTTATCTACGACCACCTTCATCCTGCGTTCGCTTAATCCAAAGAAATTCGCGAAATGATCAAATTATTCCAAAGCGTTCAGGGCGCAGATATTTTCACTTTCAATTGGATTCAGGTATCCCGCTGAAATTGGCCGCGCGTCATCGGATCGGCAGAGTTTTTGCCAGAGCGACGATTTATTTGCAACGAGCAACGGCATCAATCGATTGATCGGCGAATACGCACAGCGGCGATAGTCGTGTAGTAAACCTGGTTATCGCATTATCTCGGACACCGGAGACCTGCACGAGGGAAATCTATTCTATGGGGAACTTGCATTTCACGTAGGGGCCCCGACCGATCGGCTCTATTATACCAGCCGAGCATATCGCTTCGTGTATCTACGTGCTCCGCTCTGCAGGCCTAGCACCGATAACATTGACGTACCGATAATTTTGTAATATCGTCGTTCGCCTGTGTGCATGTGTGCGGACGCGTGTGTGTGCATGCGTGTGTCGCGGCATGTCGGGAATGCGGGTGTACATGGACCGTGTATTCGTGCGCGAATTTTTTGAAATATCGCGAGTTCAAATTGTGTTTCGCCTGGTGTGGATACTGGCAGAGATATCGGTGAAATTTTATGGTGTTGATTAGTTGTATTTTTGTTCCACTGTGTGGAATTCTTTCACGAGTCTATTGGCTATTTTTTGTACTTTTTATATCACCATAAGGAATTCTTTTGGATAAGATGATTATTATATTTGTAAAATTATTAGAACGTATTCAGAGGACGAATTGGAGGAGAATTTTGGAAAATTTGTAGCTCGGAGAAGGGAATATCGAGCAGAATTAATCTTAGGAAATAGTAGAGACGAATGGCGGAACAAGAGCACTCGATTTTGACGGAGCACCGAGCAACAAAGAGGAAAAATGGCCGAACGCGAGTAACACGAGTTGCCATCGTGTGACGATTCATCGTCGAGTGTCGAGGATCCGATAAGGCAGCTTTTAAAGTCCTTTAAAAAGCAATACATCGTCGAGGCGACGGAGGGCGAAAGAGAGAGAGACCTCTCAATAAATATCCCATGGATCCTGCCGGCACGTGACTCCCTTATCCTGCCATCTTAAATACTTGGCTGCGCGTGTCGGTCATTCCGATCATCGCATTAACTCGCACAAATGATCCTGTGTTATAGCCGTCCTGCGACCTAGTGATTTGAAATAGCAAAAATCGTTTGAATTTCGTGCGGATCTTCTATGGTGGAAAGCTGATAAGACCGAGTGTGAACAAAATTAGAGAATTCTTTGAGAAATTGCTTTTGGATATAGAGTAATATGATTCCATAGAAAAGGGTTGTAATGAGAAATTAGATAGATGGATGCAGACAAGTTTGAAAATTTTCTCAGAAGTTGCTCTTGGATGAGGAGTAAAATAATTTTGTATAGGGAATTTATGATGACAACTTAAATGTAGACACATTTGAGAACTTTCTCGGAAATTGCGTTTGGATAAGATACAGAATAATTTCTTTATCTTATTCAGGAAATAAGATTTGTAAGATTTTCCGGGAATTTATGGTTGATATTTTGTTAATAATTGAACACGGATATGAATATATCTATGTAAAAATAGTACAGCGCATGATTAATGTACGAATTTGTCAATTTTTAACGTTTTGATGAGTTTAAAGATAGTTACAAGTTGCTTAAGATATTGTTATAATGGAAATAAAAATGATGAAACATGTTAATTTCCTATTTAATATTGACAATATTATATTTGTCAGTCTTAAGAATATTATACAATTCTTACCTTGATCTGAAGATGTTTTCCATCTCATATTCGTCTGAATCCAGAAGAGCTTTCTTCCTAGGGATATATTTTCCACAGCCACATTCAATCATATTTGACCAATTTTTATTCTACCGCCACGATTCCATGATCCACCTGAAATTATACCAATAGTAATTAGAATACATTAATTATCATTAACCATAAGATATTAAAAATATTATTTAAGCCTTTGATATTTCTCTTGACTGCAAAGGTAATAATATTATTAACAACAATATACACCTTCCTAAAAATAGTCAATCATAAATTTCATTCCAGTGTGTTTACCTCCCATGAAAAGGTATATACCTTCTCAAAAATACCATACCTTTCATCTAATTTAATTATCTTTATCAGTATAAAGACTTTAATACCTTTATGATTTCATTTCGATAAATCAAACCTTCAAAATCCAACAGTATTCCCAAAACTTCCTCAAACTAACACCTTATTACACACTTTAGCCCTGTCTAGTAATTTAATCTCACATACATCGCTTTTCACGAACGTAGACAGTCTCATACCATAAAAAAGGCAAAGAACCAATTACAAACACCTACATGCCACTGCAGGAAGCAATTTCTCCGTGTTACAAACGGAATCTCGTCGTATGACTGTAACAAGAGTAGCACAGAGGCTAAAAGGGCGAAGCGCGAAACCGCAGCGTACAGCGACAGTTTTCGAAGATCCCCAGGGAACACGGTGGTTTCAGACGAGCTGTGCTAACGCTCGTGTTATGGGGTTGTCAAAGCACAGACAGAATGACATCTCTATTATCACACGAACAGACCATGAAAGAAGAGAGAGAGCCACATACAAACGGAAGAGAGAGAAGAGAGAGAGAGAGAAGAGGCAAGGGGAGGTAGCAAGAGGTTACACGTAGAAACGCGTGCCACCAAGATAACGGATCTCCCTGATGACAATCCTCCTTGGTGAAGTCCTAGGGCACATATGGACGAACCCCATGACTGTTAAACAGATCCACGCTGGCAGCTACTGCTATATAGCTCTATCTCTGAGAGATCCCACTGATAATTTCGATTCCCTCAAATATTGGGAGCAAGGTTGATCGGAGAAGATCGGATACTGTGTTTCGATAACAGCTTTTGACCATGGTGATGACGAGTTGATACGACGTAGATAAAGTTCTTCTTTGTCAGCTCATATTCCTATATCTTGCGATGGCTTCTTATTCTGTATCAAAAGTGCATGTTGCTGTGAAAATTTTTAATGCTTATAATGAATTTATATTGTAGGTAAGAAATTTCAGTTTGGGACTCCATTGTAGCTGGTATTAAAGATAGATATATAATTACAGAAGGTTATCAAGTATTTTTTAAGTTGTTATAATAAATGAACATTCTACTTGAGTGATAGTTTCTACTGTAATAATTTCTAATTTAAGGAGATAACACTGTGAAGCGTCTAATACTGGAATCATTATGAAACCGATTATATTAATATATTTACATGAGTAACAAAATTGATTACACAAAGCATTAATCAACCCTTGAAATCCCTTTTAAAGCGACACTTGCAATTATTCAAAAAATTGTGGAATTTAATGAAAATTTCTTTTCAACCCTACACAATCCTCTTTTTATACGTACAATTTAAATGATCAAAGTAACATTCTCATAAATTATATATATATCCTTGTACATGCCAATACTTTGCTCTATCTGCAAACAACACTGATAATATACGTACGTATATACAACTAACCAAGTATAAAACTGAATAAAGGATTGGAATCCTAACGAGCTTACAATACCTCAAACAAGCTTCAATAAGAAAAACAAGGTGGAAGAGGACAATTGTAAGCTGGTATTCCTGTCGATGTGAATGAGAGACACTCGAAGCAGAACGAGGAGAAAGCGTGGCGAGTAAGCTGGCCGCAGCTTCCGGTTGGCTGCCACATAATTTCGTTACTTCGCACGAAATTGGATTAAGGGGTTCGTTAAGGGCGCATTAGCGCACGTTAGCACGTTATACGATGACCCTGGGCTGAATTACATTGTGGCGTTTGGTCAACTTTCAATGGGCCATGTCGAGTGACCCCGCTGAGCCCCGGAAGTGCCGCAGATTTCCACGTTTCCCCTGCTTTTCCACGTCTTATTTTCTGTCGCTCTGTCGCCGACAGACGGGGCAACGTACTTTTCTACGCTTTTTCACACCTAACCACTAGCAAAAATCACTGGTCAAAGACTTCACCCCTCTTTACTCTATTTTCTTTGTTACTTATTGTCGAAACGTATTAAAACGACCTCGTGTACCTCTGTCGTAAGTATATTTAAGGGATTTCGTGTATCAAGAGGAATCTTACTGTAGCATCTCTCGGTAAAAATTACAGGGGTTGTTTAATTTAATTTAAAGAAAAATTGTGACGAAGAATTATGAACGTTGGAAATAATAAACGTTTAACGATGATTATCCATCATCCATGCCAAACCAAACGTAAAATATTTTATGAAGAATGAAATATGGCACATCTCCTATGGATATCTGTAAAAAAGCAAAAGAAACTAGAGCTCAATACAACGATTGATTATATCAATACAATCCAGACTAGAGTGGATTACCATGAATTACCAATAACGGAAATTTTGCAATACAGAAAAATATCCATTATAAAGGAATAAAGGAAAAGTATTTAATACCATTGAACCCAAAAACCACACCTCACTGCCTATTATACCTAATTTAATTTAGCCATATAAATTATATATCACACAGTGATATGTGAGCAGATGAACAAATAAAATAATAATAATAATATCACTCGATACTTTTTAAAATTTTAAAGATTCTAAAAGAAGAAAACAATTTTTTACAAACAGAAATAATCACCTAAGATTAGAAGCTGAAACAGAACTAAGTATTACTCAAAATTCCTACTCAATCCACAATTTCACGATCACGTAGATGAAAAAGATTTCCTGAAAAAGAAGTCCCGACAAATTTCCATAAATCCCTCGATCGAGCAAATTCCCATGAGCAACGGCACCGCGTATCGTAACAAGGATAGGGAAAAACAATGCGAATACGACACGACAATGTCTCAGCACGTTATCGGGACCGACAGAAAGGAAACGAGCGGACGCATAGTTACAGTAACCAGATTTCACCTCCGCGACGATCGAGAAGGAAAGTCGTCGCTTCGATCAGGGCCGTTGTTCATCGACCGGATCGTCGCCATGGGATATCGGAAAGATGCTAGATAGGCTACTGTGAGGCGGCGTGAAAGGGGTCACAGGGACTCGGTTCTCTTAATTATAAAGGGCACCAGCGATAATTGTCGTGTAGTTGGACCAACATTGTGACTGCATGTTTTCCCGCCACGCCCATCTCGGTGTTCGTCTCAGCGGGCGAGCCTTTCTTCGTGTTTGCTCTGCCGTGGGACCGTGCCTCCTTGGATCTTTATTAACCATGTGCCGGAATCCTGATTTCAAGATTAATTTCTGCAGAGATCCTAGTATGATCTTCCGTTGATATTTCGTGAGAAATATTTTTCTTCTGTCTTCACGATTGAGAGCTCGATAGTTGGATTAATTGCTTTGAATCATTAATTGAGATGTGCTTGCTTGATTGTCCTGAACCTTGATTGATGACTGTAGAAGTTAAACGATGGGTCACGTAGATGCCAAGATTATCTTTTCAGTGGAATATAAATCCTATACTTAGCGTAGAAGAAGATATCCAACCTAATATTGTAACATAGTTGTGTTAAGCGCAATCTAGAACTGATGCAAATCAACAAACACAATTAAATGCGTTACCAAAATATCAATGTTACAAGAATGTTGATGTGTGCTAGTAATAATTATTTTAGAAGCATTACAGACACTACTAGATCTATGGATTTTTATGGATCTTTAAGGCATTTGAAAACAGGTTTGTTCATACTGAAAATTTTCAATTTTAGTACATATATATACTGACTGTTCCACTTCCTAAACTATTTTATTCTTTTTCTAAACTAATTACTAGGTCAGAGCACTTGAAATATTGTTCCTATGAAGCTATAAATTAATGGAGCTATACCACACATTAAATTTGTCCGATTATCGGGAATCATAAATCACATTAGGGGGGAAGAAATTTGTTGCAGAACGCGAATATTAAATGTTAACAAAGGTTTCAATGAAGTATGGGATAACTTCATACTGATGTACATAACATATGGTAATAAGAGTGGTTCCATATTTATAAACTACTAACTTAAAATATAATAATTGAAATTAATAAGTTTAGTTTCCTAAATTTAGTTCTCTAAAACGAATCTAATGTGCAATGCAGTTTGTACTAAATTAAACTGTTCTATTAAAAATAACAGCATCGCTACATATCACAACAATCTTCATAAAATTAGTTATATATACCTAAATAATTCACAAAAATGAAAGAGTAATTTAAAATTCTCTTACTAAATCCACGAAACATCTTCCTCACTCAAAATCTCAAACAAAACTTATACTCTATACCTAAATACCTTCCAATGCATTTACGCTTCTATCGCACAGCAATTAACGAATTTCTAAAACGTTCGAAAGATAAGGGTCACAACAGGTGACGTCCATTCACAGTATTGACAAAAGTCGTTGCAGAACCAGGAATGTCACGATTGAAAGTCATTCAAAGAGGTGTACGCCGAAAGCTTTCACGGGTCATTCGTCGAGATCGATTGTGGACGATTTTTAACTACCCCATCGACTTTGCTCAAAGAAAAGGACGAAAAAAATGAACTAGAGCGAAGAAAGGGACGCAACGCAAAGGTACAGAAAGGTAGAAAAATGTAGGAAAAGAGAGAGATTCATCTCTCTCCCTGTTCGTGGAAACTCGATAGCCAAAATATTGAATTTCCGTAGAAAAGGGAGGATAACCGAGGTTCCCTCTAAACCGGGGATCCAAGAAGTCGTGTAACAAAGAGGGTGACTCTTTTCACCTCGCCTCCTTTCCCTTTATTCCTCACACGCGTCCCTCTTCTTATTTTTCGTAGCAGGCCACGAGGGTGAGCAGCAAGAACCACGAGGTACCTTTCGAATTACGCAAGAAATCCCGCGGCGAGGGCCGATTCTAATCGATCCTTTGATTCCGCCACGCTTTAACTCTGCCCCGCGGGCATCTCTTAACGAAGACGTTGCCCTTACAGCATCCCTACGCCGATAGCTTTTTAGCTTAGAACGAACATTCATCTCTCGCCTGCGTTATCCCTAAGATACACTGTGGGAATTTCGGTAATTTCGTGCGTAATATGGAACAGAATGGGAAACTACCCCTCTTCCTCGTGCGATTTCCTCTTTGATGTTGAGCTTAAGAAAAGTTGCATTTTGTCGAAGAATTCCATTCTAGAATAGAAATATATAATAATCGTGATAGCTTATAATTTTAACTTAGAGAAATTATGAAAGAGAGACGAAACAATAGAATAATTTATCGGTAGTTGTTTGGTTCATTTTGGAGTCGTGGAGTAGAGAACATAATAGGTAAGCTTATATTGATAAGGAAGATTGTAAAATAACATTTTTGAGCTTCGATATTAGTGTTATTTTTCAACGAGATTATAGAGAACGATCTACGAAAAGAATTTAAGTCTTATAGTACTTGTGAAGGTGGACAAAATCTGTCCAGTTAACCGAGGTCCGTGAATCAATGCTGCCAGAGTAATTTGCGATTTTCTGCTCTGCTAACCAAGGAAGTGACTTGCTTCCATTCATTAAATTTACGTAAGTAAAGATCATTCTTGTTCATGTATATATAAGCTTGCTTCGTAATTGAAAACACCTTTAAACACAACAAATATTAAAAACAATATAATACAAGAAATATGAACAATTAAATAACTTCTCATAATTAAACTACATATCGACATACTATTTTTCAAGGAAAATTTTTAGATTTTCATTTCACGAGCTTCCTGTACGATACGCACGATTTATGGAATACTTTGACGAATACAAAATTTTTCCTCGACCTGTAGAGATTTCTCCATTAAACCACCCCAAAGACGCTGGTATCGATGCTCTATTTCGCCATGGTTCTCGAGGGTAGATATTAAGAATGGCGATATTGGTTTTTCAAACAGTAGACACTTAAGACGTTCGCTCGAATCGAATTCCATCGTCGTAATGGCCCCGTGGAACGAACAAGCGAATTCATAATGAGACTTTCTATTCCGTCAACGATATCGGATAATTGCGTCCCTACTGTCGATCCTCGAAATAGGGTAATGGAGAACTCACGAAATCGGCTTGAGGGGTTAAATTGAAATTGAAATCACTCGAAATTACTTGCAGTCTCGAGGACTATCGAGAAGGTTGATACCCCTCTCTCTGCCCTTGGAATCGAATATTACTCTCGACGCTCGAAACAATCCGTTTCGTTCGATCCACTCGTGCGCGATCGACCAACCACGGCCCGGGAGGGCCATCTTTTTGCACGCCTCCCTCTTTTGTGTTTCTTTTAAATCGCCCTTTCCTAAACCTATCGCTTCGTTTCTCCTTTATCCGTATAATTTTTATTGTTATTCCTGTTACAATAAAACGATAAATAATTATATGAAAAACGAGTTCCAATATTTAGATTGTCGCTAAATATGATCCAATACCTGCAACAAAGAGAGTGGTATCGAAGTTGTTTCGAAAATTTTGTTTAAATACAGTAAATTAAAAAAAGAAATAGCAAATTACAAAGCATCAAGTTAGTAATACGAAGAAAAATTTGGGCATAGGTTGGACAAAGTAATTCATCAACTCCTGTTCAGATACATGTATTAAACACTGTGGACAACACAATTTTTATAAGAATCCTACATACTATTTTAATATAATTTATTATTCAAAGGTAGTAGTACACGATTGTCATCAACAACAAATATCTATCTAAACACAAATGTTCACCACACGTGATCTATCAAATTCAGACAACCGAATTACTAATCACAAAAGTTCAAACTTCAAATATCGCCACATCCATAGATTCCATAGCCATAATCGCATCCAACGATTCAACAATTCCTCTCACAAATAGCAAACTGGCAAAGACTCCCCCTACCTTCTACTTTCTAGCTATCTAATCTCCACTATTACCTATAGTGGGATATAATCTAAAATTTCCAATTCAAACCAAGTCAACCTGAAGAACCAAGTCTAATCCAATAACCCACTTCACGCACATTCACACAATCGATGAAAGAAAAACAAATTGTCATCACCTTTACCACACCACCTGATTCAATCTAGAACACTACCCTCAAGTCACAATGCGAAGAAGGTTAACTTCGTTTCCGTTATGCAAGGCAGAAATCGCGATGGGGCAGCGTTGACGACAAAAACGAGAATTCCAAAGAGGAAGACGCCGATGAAATTAGCACAGAGGACGACATCGCGGAAGGAAGAGGCAGCGGAGAACGAAAGGGGGTGGTGACGGTAGCGAAGAGGGAAACTCCAAGAGGTAGAAGATCCTGGGCTGAATTTTCGGCGACGAAAACTGAGCGGAGGATGAGAAACGACAATAACTTCTCGGCTCGGCGTACAATTTGATTTTATGCAACGCTTGGCACGCCTCTTAGCGCGAGATATCCTTATAACGTTTAACTAGATTGTTATGATTGTTGTCCCCGGCACCGTTTCGCTCGCCCCTTCCACCCACTCCACCTCTGCCTTCGCCCACTCCCTCTTTCCTTCGTTCGTTACGTATTATATGTATATATATATATACACCTATATATACATATGTACGATGTACATAGCAGAAGTAAACGCACATATAGATATAAAAGCGCACTCTTTCCTTCGTTCGTTACGTATTATATGTATATATATATACCTATATATACATATGTACGATGTACATAGCAGAAGTAAACGCACATATAGATATAAAAGCGCACACAGAAACTGTTTGCAGCGAAATTCCGAAGGAATTTCAACCTCCACACCCACTCACCCGCAATTCAATGTGTACGTACAAGGTGTTCCAGAGGTACAGTTGATCGTGCAAGAGGTGGCAAGGGATGACGAATAGAATTCCTTTTGTTTGAAAATACGTATTCCATTTGTTTCGTTAATTTCAATGCTCCGTGAATATTCTGTTCTACCTGACATATGAATGCGAAATTCGTCGATATTTCTATCCCCCTTTCTTTCTGCTTCTCTGTATCGCTGAAAAGCATTAAAATTTTTCAGTATGTACATGAAAATCTACAGTGTGTTTCAGAGTGCACATGATAGGCAAGCGAAAGGGGTAGTGAATGGTAAAGGGTACTTTAATGGCAATATATAGGTGTTTGGTCTTGGTCTGCCTTTTCAGTAAGTTTCAAAATAGTATATTGGGACTATTTTCTATAATGATTTATACTATTTTAGTAATTATTACTAGAACATTGGAAATAATATGTTATATTTACAAGAATATTAAGAACAGCATTATTAAAAAGATAACCAAATAACAGGATTGTCATACCCATTGAAACAAAATTTCTTACTGAAATCCTATTTACCCAAACCCCATAGGAAATGTAACTGTTGTGCTCATGTGGAAGCACTCGAAATTTGCATTTTTATAGGTCTGTAGGTAAAAAATAAGATTAAATTAGACAAAGTATTCCCTTCGTCATCGGCTACTATCTTCTGCTTGGTTGAACAGTAATTCTGAAACACTATCTATATGTAGATACATAAATGTATTTCGATCTCTCTCTTTCTCTTCATATACGTATATGCACGTTCTTGCAGCTGTTATACACAAAGATAGACCTACACGTCCGCGCTTCGTTTCTCTCGCAAAATACTGCCGCATTGCAGCTGCTAAAACAATAACCTGTTAAACGATGTACCACCGTATCTGAAAATATTTCGCAACGTTGCTAATTTCGACTATGGCAATTATAATTGGTACCTTCAAACGATGACTGTGATTTAAGGTCTGCTGTTGCGAAAGACACTGAAACCGTTGAAACGTATTTATCTATCTACAAAATTGAAATAGCAGGACAAGAATTTATCCTTTAATTTGTAATTTATTTTATCAAATACCTTTATAAGTTACCACTGTGTGGAACAATTTTAGAGAGAAAATTGTGAAAGATGTATGCAGTAACAGAAAGTCTCTGAATAGTAGCTACAATAGTCACTTCCAAAATTAACCAGACCAAAGAGAACATACGTAGATATGATTCTCCATCACAGAGAATAATACAATTCTAGTCACTTAACAACTTGCGTCCAAATCCTTCATACATAACAAAAAAGAGCATCCAACCCCTAATCTCAATACTTACAACTCCATTTCATCCGCTGGAACTCAACCTAATCTGTTCTTCTACTCGAAAATAACTGCATACAACTCATCTCCAAAACCTACAAAATCTAGCGATTGAACCCCCACAACAAACTAGCTATGCAGCTACCTACTCCTTTCTCCAAACCAACGAAACAGCACAACTCCAAGCCACCAATCAGCAAGCTACCCAATCTTCCAATAAAGAAAGCCATCCCTGACCTCTGCCACCCCTACTATCGGCCCCAATCGTCTCTAATAAAAGGCGCGAGGCGAGCGGTGGAAATTGGCGCGTATCCGCAGGGCAACGTGTGATATTCATATTCTTGGCAGAGAGTCCGCCAAGAGCAGAAGGTTGGGGAGGCGCGAGGACGAAGAGAACGAGAAAGAGACAGAGAGGGGAACAAGAGGACGGTAGAGGCTGCCGGTGGTTGGCAGAGCGTCGAAGCCAGTGGTGCAGACCAGTGGCCCGATGAAGGCAACTCTGGTATTCTAACCCTACAGCAGCCAAGGGGGCTGCCGCCTCTGCCGTTGCTGCTGATGCTGCGAGCTGCTGCCGCTGCTGCTCCAGGTATACTGTCTGCGGTGCTGGCTGCACACAGCGACAAAGAATGTTGGTAACACGAACATGGGGGATAGAGGGGCCAAGGGGGGTGCTGGCGATGGTAGGCCCTGCCGGAGCTGGATACCACTCTAGATATTTCTTATCCCAGCGCACGTAACCCTCTAACAAGCTAGCAAAGTTTACCAATAAATTGTATGACGGCGAGCGTCGGCTGGATGCTAGCAAGCCGCCGGAATATCGCTGGTACCGCGCCGTTTCCGCTGCACCAGCGTGCCACGCTCGTTCCTCCTCTTTCTTCTTCGGAAGCAGGCTTCAGCGGCGACCTTCGTCGAGAATATTTCCCGAAGAATCTACGACAGGGAATGGACGGTAGAAGATTGTGGGTCTCGAAGGGTTAGAGTGGTTCTTTGAAGATTGGTTCCAGGGGTGGGCTTTGCTCGCGTTTGGGGTGCTTCCATGTGAGTTTGGAGAAATTTCAGAGTTTTTGGCCAGGTTTGGAGATCTTGTATGTGGTTTGTTTGAGAATTACGAGTGAGGAAGGTTCGATTTTCGAATATGTTGATTTGATATTTTGACTAATTACGTTTTAATGAAATCTACGACTATTTTGTAACTGTGTTTCTGAAATCTGATTTACCTTGTGTCTATTTTAACAGTTCTATATCTATTCTATAAAGAAGACATCTTATAACGTAGGATTATGTATCTAAGGATCTAATACATCTAAAAAGGCACCGAATACCTTGCATACTGTTTAATCCTTTTAAAATTTGACTTGTCTAACAGGATTCTGAATGACTTGATGAAAGCTTCAATTATTCCTATATACCTTATGCAAGAAAGATTTGCTATTTTTTGAATCTGCAAGATGAATTTTCAAGAGCGACAAATTTTCAGGGTTTTAATGGGACTTCACTAAGCACTCACTTTTCCAACGTTTCTTTTCTTTTTTACTGCTGATGCATGGCGCGAATTCAATGTCAATGAGCGCCAAATGTCAGGACACGTTGGCAATGAACGAAAGAGAGGGAAAGGGAGCCGGCGATTATATTGAATGGTATTTCGTTGACATAATGCGACACACGCGAGCACACTTTATAATAGAGTCACATCACGTCGGTTACACAATCACAATACTAATCTGACATAATGGCTACCTACTTTCTTGCCGATTACACCAAAAAAATCGTCAGCCATAATGATTCTTCGAGGAAAAGAATCGTCCGCTGAACGAATTTAACGAGAGGACAATTTTTCTTTTAAAAGTATAGTACAAATGAACCAGTAATAACGTGACGAACCGATAAAATAGGACATGAGAAATATGTTCCTGAAATAATCGATCAGATATTATTTGTACTACTTTACTCACGTAATACGTAAGACTATAATAAGTACTTGATAATAAAATTCTGTAACAAATTTATGAACGTGAATTCATGAATAAAGAAGTACTGTGAAATTTGGAAAATATTATAGGATATCTTATAAAATTTTCCAGTGTAAATATAAATTTCTAGAGTAAATAATAATTTAAAGTAGGCAGTAATAAGACTCTTCCTTCACCACCCCATGAATAAGTCTATCCATTCAAAATCACCATCTTTCAACTATAAATCATTCTAATTACCTAACCCAGACGTTACATAGTAAACAAAATTTATGCTACAATCATATGCAATAGTCGAAAATCCTCTAAGATGTGCATGCAGAATTATCACAATGGTATCAATATATCACTCAACGTATATTCCAACTCACCTTACACGTATGAAGTTAATGAAGATCAAATTTCTTGAGAAAGCCAGAGGGCAAACATCACAAACAAAATTCCATAGTCGTCGAGAGATGCTTGCTGATAATCCTAAAATAATAAAGTTATATATAGATGAACCTCACTAAATATCTCTAAAATACAAAATTATATTTTACTCTTAACTTTAGATTTTATGTTCATCAAGCGTATTTCATTATTACCTTGTTCCAACTCAAACTCTTCTTTTATCGCTCCATGCATAAAATTCATCCATTCTTCAAATACTCACATAGTAGATCAACACTATAGCTGATTTACTGAAGATTTACTGCACCTGAAAATGCATTCAATATTAATATAGATACATCATAATTAGTAATTCACAAATGCTATCAGCTCGGTCGAACTCTACTCCCAACGCTCTCATTGGTTCACCCTATCAGTACCAAAATAAGAAAGATCGAATTCCTGAAGTTGCCGCAAAAGAACAGGGGGCACACACGACGAACAATGAAAGTTTCTTGCTCGTCGCCCGTCGATCGTTGCAGCGTTCGCTTTCGAGCGCGAAACAACGTGCTCGAGCGGATATATCTTGAATCGCCAACGAAGCGAATCGGCTTAAGTGAAAATCACTGGGCGGTTTGCGAGCCCGTAAATATTGTACCGGTGTAGCCACGGGTGGGCAGGGCAAAACGAACGTTTGTTTGGGGGTGGTTACTCGTCGATCTCTCTCCTTCTCTCCTTCTACTCTCTCCTTTTCTCTCTGTCTCTCCTTTCCTCCTTCCTCTCCAACCGGTCGCCGTTGCAGCGTTCACGCGTGCCTTCTTGCCCCTTGAAGTGGTCCGTGCGATATGGCGGAAGAATCGATTGCACACGAAGAGACCAAGGAAGAAACGCTTAAACCTCTTCCAACTACCTCGCGTTTCCTGTGGAGCCCGTCGAAGGCATTCTGTCGATCCTTCTTCCGGAAACGAACCTGCCTCCGGTAATTCCGCAATCCTTTTCGCACTGGACAGTGGGAACAAAGGGCTCGCGTTAAGTTATGCTTCGGTAGCGACTCCTTTTTTGCGATAGAGGCCTGTTTTAGGTGGTTTGAAAGTGGAGTAAGATTTTTAGTTGGGCAGCCGAATTTGTTCTTCCTGAAAGCTGATACTAATGTGTTAAGTGATTAATGTAACAATTAACTGTAGATAAAATTCATTGCTCATGATAGTTAGAATAATAAGAACTCATTACAGGTTTAATCAATCAAAGTAACCTTTCATCTGTATAAACAGAGTTCCACTATACACAAATCTTATTACGTGTGCAAATAATTGGTAACTTAATGATCTCTCTTAATGATTCCCAAAAAATTGAATCAAGTTGCAATCTTAAACCCAACAAAGTAGCAGGCCTAAAATGAAAGACAAGTGGAAATTTTGACATCTAATAACAACTTGATTTCCAAATTTCAGTAGAAGTAATAATAACAAATTCACAATAATCTAACACAATTAACAGTAACCAAAGTAAATTCTTTTACATCATACTGGATATATTCTTGAATAAAAGCTTGAGAAACCTAATCTGGAGATATGTAACTATCAGTTACATGGGAAATAAGTATTGTGCTAAAAGAAGACAATGAATCTTCAAATAATGATCTATCAGAATGAAAAAGAACTATCTCCAATGCTAAAATTATTCGTTCCAACGATTTTGTGCCAAAAGATTTCGATAAATCTAAACTGTGTCGATGGTCAGAAAAGCACATGCACGAAGGGACAGGGGGAGAAAAGTGGTAACAGTAGGAATATGCTCGACACAGACGTTTCAACGTGAAATATCTTCAAAAGAATGGACCTGGATCGAACCCACGTGAATTTTAATATCAAACCAAGTGCTTTCGTCTTCTTCGAACGTTTCGTTTCCTTTCTCTTCGCTCTACTCCGTGTAATGGAAATACAAAGAGAGTTAACAAATAGTTTTGTTACAGAAGGTAATATATGATCTATAATTACTGTTAAATGCTTAGAAAGTATAGATTGACTCGATCTATAATTTGAATTTGATCGAATTGATTTTCTCATTAACACCCTCTTGCAATTTTCTTGTTTTCATCATAGAACCTGACATCTTATTCCAAGAATGCAACACCTATGATGTATCCCTCTAGAATTTCCTTTGCTTGTGAGAAAAGAAACCATAAGGAATTATGATTCCTTGCTTGGACTTAACAGCTAAAAACCGACCATTGTTGCAAATAGATTGCTTGATGCAATGATACAGAAAAAGTAACAATTACCAGCAATTCCTAAGACAACTATGTACACATATTTCCCTAGCATATAACCCTATAGAAAACTTAACTAATACCGCCATATTTTTACACATAATATTAAAATACTCGTCCCCATCTCTTCCTATCATCTTCGCCTTAACGACCAAAGTAGACAAAGAAGATAGTCACGTTAGACCCGAGAACCTGAACCTATCTTCAACCTCGCTTCTTCGTAGAACGACGACACGTGGAAGGGGTACAAAAGCACGTAAAACAGCCCACCTATGGACAGCATTAATATACGCAAGCGAATTACCAGGGAAGTTAAACGGCGTGGACGTAAGGCGTGTGCTTGCAAAGCTTGCCGGAGCCTGGACCTGGAAAGAAGGTGTCAAAGTAGCGGCACACAAAGCTTTCGTTTAATTCGTTTTGCGCACACCCTCGGGGGCCTGCCAGTATTCGCGTATTTTTCAGACACGAAAAAAGCCCTCGGAGCTTCAGAGGCGGCGGGAGTGGTGCTCGTATTAGCGCCAACGAGTCAGAAAACCCTCCCGCGGCTCGCGTCGCTACAATATTTATGGGGTTGCTCGTGCGAGCGAGCGATTCCCGTTCGCGCGAGTTCGCCTCGTTGGGCGCTCAAGGTCCGAACAAGTCCTAACGCGTGCGCTCGCGAGCGCACAGCAACGAGGATGAGACCTGGGACGAGCGTGAAAAATTAATGAGCGAGCAACCGACGACAGAGAGAGCCTTCGGGAACATGCCTTGTGAAAATACGTGCACGCGCGCGCCCTTGTATTCAAAGTGGGCCGATATTCAGGGGCGAATTGACTTTTACAGTCGACCATGGAACATGATCTTGCGACGAGTCGAATTAGATTGTTTGACGAGTCGCCATGGATTCTGCGTGTTACGAGCAAGGAATTATTAAATCGAGAGTAATTGCGAGAAGTTGTAGGGTTTGGAAGTTCGTTCGAGATTCGATTAGAAGAATATGAGTCTCATGAGAGTAATAGGATTTCTGAGAAGCGAATGAAGAACATTTGTGAATAGAAAGATGATAGATAAGATAAGAAAAGACTTGGCACACATTCGCGAGATGAGATATTTCAAAATTTACAAAAATGACAACCTCCTATTATATAAATTATTCTACGTGTCTACGCGAAGATATATGCAAGAATTAGCAATGCAATGAAACACACCACGAGAAGAAGGTAGTACGAATTGGCACACATTCGCGAGATGAGATATTTCAAAATTTACAAAAATGACAACCTTCTATTATATAAATTATTCTACGTGTCTTCTTATACGCGAAGATATATGCAAGAATTAGCAATGCAATGAAACACACCACGAGAAGAAGGTAGTACGATCTACAGTCATCATATTAAAGATAGTCATAACCTAACCTAAAACCAGCGAAGCACTGAAATATCGAAAACTCAAATAAGTCAAAGCTATTTCTATTTACGTGGGAATAAAATCGAATCAAACCAGCCAAGAGAATCTTTCATTTACGCTCTGAAATAAACCGGTAGAGAATAAAAGGTAGGCGATCGAGGAACGAAATTTTTATTCTATTTCGTTCATTCTTTCTCGGGGAATTTCTATCGCCTCTCGTGAAACAAGGACGTTCGTCAGGGACGAACGGTGAAAAAGAAGAAAACGGGCGAAATCTCGCGACTAATCAGCGGACCGTCGGTTTACGCCTAGCACCCCGTCCCACCTTTCTCCTTTCTCCTTCCTTTCGCGCGTCTTCTGCCTAGCTGTCGCCTACAAGAGTAGCAAAAAGTGTAAAAAGGGGGGCGACGGAGTTTTTTCACCCTCCTTCGCTCGCAATCACGACCAAGTGTCGCCTTCGTTCGAGGGTGTAAGTACCGATCCTCGTCGTAGAATACGTTCAAACAGCCGGAACCGGAAATGGTTCCCTCGAATTCCCGACAAATTCTCTCTTAACATTCCTGATTCTGTTATCGGTCAAATAGATTGCTGTGATTTGTACGAGTGTGACACGAAAGATCACAATATTGAAGAAAATAGAATTTTACGTTATTAATAGCTTATAATTCATCAACGGTAGAACTATCTATTCGTAACAAATGGTACAATGAAATTAAATAAGATCCACCCAAGAGTACCAAAAATAGGGAATAAAATAATTAACAAATCAGAATACATATACCACAGCAATAAACAGACTCAAACCTGACTCAAAACCTACCGTAAGTTCTTTTCCAGATCGTGAAACTAAGAAAGGCACAAGGTTCATGAATCGTCAACTTTCAAACACCAAAACCCAACCTAAACCAGAAACTGACTACGAGCAGTCCTCGGCAAAAACAACGAAAAAGAAAAAACAGAAAAGATGAACATACCATCGAGAATGAGAAAAGAAAAACGACAGAAAGAAGTCTGGACGAAGGAAAAGAGGAGAGCGGCGAAATCGTTCAGCGTAGGGTAAATAAAGTTTTAAATTTCCGCAGTTCCTTTCGCGTTTCTCCCCGGTTGGCGCCTCCACTATCTGCATAATATATCTCTAATGTGACGGAGGGAAAAGAGGGTGGCAAAAGTTACCTCCGCCCGGTATAATGTAAGGAGAAAGGAGAACGAAGGGGGTTGGGCTCCCGTTGCCGGAGACGACGACTACGACGACGGCGATGGCGGTGGAAGCGAGAAGCCAGGAGAGAAAGCAGCCCTCGCAGGAGGCACGGTGCTTAAATAACGCGAGTTTGGATTTATAGTAATACTTTTATGAAATAATGTTAGTGGCGGATATTAAGGCAGACACTGGGAGCGTTGCTGGCTGAGCGCCATCCCTTTCCTACGCCAGTCCTCTTCGTCCTCGTTCCTCGACTTCTCCCGATTCTCTCCTTATTTTCCTTCTGGCGTGCTCGTGAAAAACTTCCGGCGATTTCTCTGCTTCTGTCGGTAAGTTTCGTATGAATTTGCTGGTTACGGGCACGTTGCGGGGAAACACGGATGTGTGGAGTGCAAGAAGATACATGGTACCTTGTTTGGAGGTTGCTCGCGGGA